AATCTGAAATTGCTTGGCTCAAATTTCATTTCCATCAAAACTTGCATCTATCAATTTCTTGACTCAGAATCCATTTTCTCTACTAAACAACAAAGACAATCCTCCTAGATAAAAATTGAATGGTTGCAAGTGTTTCTGTGTTTTAGAAGACACGTGGCTCCTTCATCAAATTGACATTTTGTCTTTCATTGCTTTATTAGCAATATTCTTATGCTATGCATGGTTAAAAAAATTTAAAATAAAATTTTAAAAAATAATATAACGTATATGTAAAATTTTTTATATTATATTATTAAAAGATATAAATAAAGATAAATAAATAATAAAAAATACCGTCATGTTTTTTTTTTTGATAATAAGAACGAGAATTAGCAGATAAACAAAAATAAAAGGAGAATTAATTAGTTTGATGTATATTATAATTAATTAATATAAAAAAAATAACTCCCAATATTGTTCTCTTCAAAAAGAAAATCTCAGTATTGTTAAAATCTATAAATTAAGTAATTCATTTTAAATATGAGAAACTTCATTATATTTACTACAATTTAATTTCAAAAATATCAAATACTTATTCAATTTATTTATTTTGAAATTAATATAAAATAATAACTGTCCTATAATTGAAACTTAAACAATTATAAAAATTAGACAAATGCACGCACGTTGACTGGGCCACGGAGTCCTTGACTTAAAACCAGTCGAAGGTGGATGTTGCCTGATGCGGCCGAGAGTAGTAAACCTTGCTTGACCCTTTTGTCAGTGCCGTGGGACCATTAGCTAGGCATTTTATATTTGCCTCGGGTGTCATTGCCTTGGGACCATTAGGCATCTGGCCCCTGGGTGACACTACCTTGGTGGGCCATTAGCATTAGGCTCGTCCAGACCTGCTACTTGTTATGAGTTATATTTTATTGTAATTTAGATAAATTTAATAATTTTTTTAAAAATGTGAAATTTTAAATGTGAATTATTAAATTTATTAACTGTTAGAAAAGAGAATATGAAAATTTTCATTATTTAGAAAATATTAATAATATTATTAATTACTTACTTAAATATTGAAAAATATATAAATTTATGATATTAATATTAATATTAACTCAATTAATGTTTAAATTGAAAAAAAAATGAAATTTAAAAAACAATAAAAAAAATTTTTTTTCTTATCAGTTCAGTTATATTCATATTCACTTTACAAAATCTATAATAATACAAGAACAACGATTTTGAAATTTTTTAATGACAATGTTATTAAATAATATTATTAATTTATTAATATTAGAAAAAAATTTGAAAATTTAATTATTTGAAATAATATTAATGGTATATTAGGTATATACTTAATTATTGAAAAAAATTGAACAATATTTAATATTATTAAATTAAAATAAGTTAAAAAGTTTTATTATATGAAGTAATGATATTATTATTAATTATTTAGTTAACATTTAATACTATTAATGATATTAATACTAATGTTAATTCAATTAATGTCTATATTAAAAAAATAAAATTAAAATAAAAAAACTAATGTAAAAATTATTTTTCTTATCAAGCTCAATAGCGTGAGTTACTTGTCAAGCGGAGGCATCATACTCTTATCCGTCATGATTAGATAGTAATCATAACACCTTAAAAATTACTCTCTCTATATTATTTTATTTGTATTGTTTGACAAAACAAACATGTTAAGAATTTAACCAATGTTTTGCATTTTTTTTACCCTTTAACACATTAAAATATTAATAAAAATCATTCATTTGATAAATAATCATAAAGGTTATAATGAGAAAAATAATTATTTATATATAAATTTAGAAACTTTATAAATATTTTGAAATATTAAAAAAAAAAACAAGCAAATAAAATGAGACCGAAATAATATTTCTTTTACTACCCTCAATACTTCAATGTTTCGATGTTGTGATAGGTATAACAAATATGGTTCTATTTATATATATATATATATCGCAACTTCAAATGTAAACCATTGAAATGCAATTATTAAGATATGAACATTCAAGTTGTTGGCCGTTAATTACTTTCGAATGGACAACGTTCAGTTTTTTTTTTTTTTTTTTTTTTTTTTTTTTTTCTTTTGAGCGAAGTGTTACTTTTTAAGGTGTGGTTTTTTTTTTTTTTTTTTTTTTTCTTTTTGAGCGAAGTGTTACTTTTTAGGTGTGTTTTAAGTAAAGTGTTTCTTCTATCAGTAAAATTAATTGTATTTTATTTATATAATAATAAAAAAATAACTTATCGAGCAAATTAACTCGTGGTAAACTCCTCGGTATACCCGGAACTAAACTTGAAAAAATTAAATGAAAAAACTTTATAGTTCTGTAACATAAGAGCAAAACACAAAAAAGAAAATTTTAAATCTCTTATCGAGTTAATAAAAGAATCTAATAGGAACAATGTCTGAGTTATCATAACCGCACAACAGAAAAGAGAAATTGCGAAAATTACTTGATAGTTAGAGGAATAATTGAAGTTTAAAAAAGAAAATATGAATTGAAAAGCAAGGAGAGAATGGAGAAGATAATAATAGAGAAACGATAGAAGAAGTGAGAGAAAAAAAATAAAATAAATATGAATGTATAGGAACTCAGCAAAACATTTACCAAATGCATAACTTTCCCTGAATTTTGTTGAAATAATCATTTATGCCCCTTAATTTTGTAAAATACCACTTGTCCTCCTCAATTTTAGTTTTGTATCTATTTCACCTTTTGCCAAGCTAAAACAATGGAGCATGAAATAAATCGTTGTACATAGGGTGAACAATGGTTTTTCTCTTTTTGTTAGTTCTTGTATATGTGGAATCCAACGTGGTTTATCAGTTAAGTACATTTTAACTACTTATAACACATCAATATGTTTGTAATTAACGCACAAACTTAAAAAATGACAAGTGAAATAGCTACAAAAAATTAAAGTTATAGTGCACAAGTGGTCTTTTACAAAGTTAAGGGGCACAAATGATTATTTGAAGAAAGTTCGGAGAAAATTATGCATCAATTATCTTATCCCGATAGCTATAATTAAAAAATAAACTTGAAAATATCAAGAATTATACACTTAATTTTATCCTTCTCAATTCTACCATTTAAAAACACCACAAAATTTTTCATCAATTTATACATAATTTTCTTTTCTTCTGATGTGAAAATCACAATACCCTTGTTACCTCTTCCTTAGATAATATAATTCTTTTTTTATTATACGGTACAAAAAATAAAAAAAAATAAAAAATAAAATGGGGAGCATTATGCTTGCACCTGGCAAGCCTTAGATACTAGCAATAAGCCCATCACATAGTCACAAATGCTAAATTCATTTGGACTGGGCTTCTGTTAGGCCCAACATGGATATTGCTTATTTTAAGGCATCTGTTTCAGTGCAAGTGTCACCAATAATTCAGGAAAAAAGAAAAGAAAAAAAAAAATCAACTCTCTCTCTTCTTAGTTTTATTTTTCTTTAATATTTATTTACCTATTTGAAATTTCAGAAATTCATAAATAATGACATCATAAAAAAACATGAAACTTGAAATTCTAGTATTTGTTTTTTGGGTAAGATGAATTAAATCACAAAATTTGTTAGCCATACATAAAATGATAGAGCTCATCTTTTTGTTGATAGGAAAGGCAATGGCAAAAAGAGCCATCCAATTTATAATTGTAGCCACAAGAAGTAGAATCCTTGTTCATCTATTTATCTACTAATGCTATTTTTTAAAATTTAAAAAGTGCAAGAGATGACCTTTCCATGAAAGAGACACAAAACAAAAGTGACATATACAACATTTATATGTTCCCACCAATTGTATTTGTACATTGACATTTGGAAAGGGAAATTAAAGGCTTTAACATCAATAAAATGTCATCTCTTCCTCTCTCTCTCATGCCCAAGTATCTTTTTGATTCTCTCTTTGAGATAAGGTTAGTTTGAATCCCAACTCCAATAACTACCAACCCTAATAATACCAAGAGAGATAGATTGCAATTTTTTTTTTTTTTAAAGTAGAATCATAGGTTTTAAATAAGGTAAATGATTCATGAATTGTTTGAAATTTGACTAAAAAAACCCATTTTAACTTGTTGAATAGCTTTGAAAAACTAAACTCAAATTTATTTATTGAATTCATTTAATAAACGAGTTGAGTTTGGATTTTAGAACGAGTCATCAATCAAGTTAGCTTATATACTAGTTTATAAGCTAACTAGATAATAATTCTGTTAATGTTTACAACTATATTAATAGAAAAAAATAAATTATTATTATTTTTTCTACAAATATTGAGCAGAAAAACTTGTATATTTCATTATTTGTTCTTTTTTTAATATTGGAAAAATGATTTAAACCTGAATCTATTGTCAGATTGTAGATAAAATTATCATTAAGCTATGCGTTGGTGAGGCCATGTGTTACTATTAATCATTAGATTAAGACAAAAAAAGGCTAAAAAAGTCATTTAGTAATTTTTTTATATTATCTCATGATTATAGTATTATGTAAATAAGCAGGATTGATGGATCTCAATTTAAAAAATAAAGTACTCTTTGAACAGGCAACTAGAATACAAATTTTAAGCCTATTTGCTGTGAAAGCTTCAAAGTACAAAAACCAAATTAAATGACTTCATTTTCTAACACATGCAATCACATGCTCTCTTGATGCTCTTTGCTGACACATAACTATCTTTTTGATTGCTAATACTATTTGTTTTGTCTTCTTCCATTTAATTTCCCAAATTCCTACAAAAAAGTAAGACCCTTAGACCGGTTCCAGTAGCCTTCTTTTTAAGTCTTTTTGCAGGAAAATAATTATGGCGTTCATATAAATATTCTTTACTTCAAATATTTTCATTTCCTTGGTTTCTTTTATCAGTAAAGGCTAAACTCTAAAGAAAGAAAAGGAGAAATTACAACTATCAAGTTCTACAAGGAGAAAACCTAAAACGATTTTTATTCCTTAACCCCATCAAGAACAAAAAATAAAAATAAAAAGAATCGATCTGAAGATTGAAACAAAAATGAAAAACATTTCTGTTGTCAATCAATCTCCGTTAGCGAAGGCTCTTATTCCATCATCACCATTTACAAATGCCATACATCTCTCCAAGCTGGAAAAGAATCACGGCGAGAGCAAGAAAATATTACATTCAAGAATTCTTTCAGGACTTTCTATTCCTCCCTTGTCATGAACATTTTTTTTACACAATAATAACAAAAATACACAGAAAATCTCTCTAAATCCCCACTAGTCTGTGTGTTTCTCCATAAACATGCGTTTCACGAGCTTTTGGTCTATATATGCGTATAGAGAGAGAGAGAGAGAGAGAGAGAGAGAGGGAGAGGAGCTCTCACACGACAACGCAAGTCTCCTGTTGCTGGTGTTTGAGTTGTTGCTTGGCTTGTTGTTGGGACCAGTATGCATGTGCAGTTAGGACCCTGTCCAATAATTCCTGAGGGACAGGTTCTCCCCTCCTTTGTTGAGGGGATATTCTTGCCGTATGCACAAGAGTTTTCCATTTATCCTGCATAACCCGAAAATAACTGTCAAAACTGAACCAAACCGACCACATTTACCATTTCGAGCATATTATGAACAGCTCATCTTTGCTCTTATAGGCTTTCAGGTAAATATTCAATTAGTCATATAGCACACTCTTAACTCGTGTATCGCAAAAGGGGGGAAGTGGGGATCAGGCAATTTGGTAAAGGGCAGGTTAGTAATGAGAAGAGGGGGAAAAAAAAGTATCTAAAAGGCATCGTGAAAGATTAGAATTGAAGAGATTCCTTGTGGGACAGTTGTTATTTTACAGATAAAGTCATACAGACCACAAAAGGTATTAAAGTGTATCCAATCATCATTTACCTGTTATCCAAGCAACTGTTTATTTATTCAACAAATTAAACTAACTTCATACTCTTGAGGAATGTGGGCCCAATATACAAAGTCTGACATTTTTGAATTTTGAAAAAAAGATCAGATTTAAGAATATAACTCCGGAAATAATTAAATACCTGCCTTCTAAAGGAACTATTTATACACATATAGAAAACCTATTGGATGAAATATATCATATCAGCTGGAAGAGTGAAATATGAGCAAACTCACCTTCAGATCCACATAAGTCCGGTGCTTTGCATTATCAAAAGCACGTAGTTTGACATCACGCCATCTGGTGATTCAAAAATCCATCAAAAATCCATTAAAATAAAAAAAGCAAGAGAAAAAAACTGCGTTAAAAATTTGATGTCTTAAATTTGCTGTAAGATAGCCACCCAGCAGGCCAATAGCCGGATTTAAATAAATTTTTCATCGAAGCAATCATCAAAATATAACTAATTAGTAATTATATATGTCAAACAGCTTTTCTAGTTCATTTAGCTTTACATCATCAAGACAATGAATATACCTTCCAGTTCCAAGTTTCTCAACTGCTTGCACCAATGCTTCAACTTCAGAGACAGAGAAAGGTCGACGAATTCGGCGCTGCACGATCTCAGATCGCTTAGATTTTCGATGTCCGGGAACCACCGTTAGCGCCTCTATGTTCATTTCTGGTACAGGAACCAGAGCTTTTGAATCTGTTGTGACTTTGTCAATGGACATATCTGTAGGCGAGGGTGCTGAATCATGGTCGCTTTCAATGAAATTCCCTAAATTAGCACCATGAGGCTCAGGAGAAGTAGCACAAGTTGCCTGATGTGCAGCATTTGGAGCAGGTAGATACCTGGTAAAAGAAATTACATATCAGAACTACAATTTGATTAATAAGATCCAGAGAGCAAAAGCTCAAGCATACCATTCACAACACTTATCTCATTGTTCACAAATTTCTGAATTCAAAAAACATTCAAAATGATCATTTAACTTCATTATTTCATTTTCTCAACATTAAATCATATTTCTCTAAAGTTCAACATGCTCTTTCTGTCTTTCATGCCATCCACATCAAAAGTAACAAGCTCTGCAGAGCATTTTCTTAATGCAAGAAAATGGGCAAATTTCCACACATAATAAAACTTTGCATCCTGGGAATGAAGAAACATGACTGAGTGATTCTTGGTAAGGTGTCAAGTCTTTAATTTGTTGTCATTTATCAACTAGGGGAAGTCAATCCATGGCAAAAATAATGAAGCAGATACCAAGACTACAAAAACTGATCCTTAAGAGCCTCGAAAATTAACATCAAAGAAGATCAATATTTCAACATGTAAGAATACAGAAGTACTTTCCAATTACCTCCGTATAGGCTGTGTTGTGTCACTGGGTAACAGAAATGGAGAATCTCGAGGGTGCAAAGAAGGGGGATTTCGAGAAGAATTAGGCTCTAGGCTAAAACCCAAGGCATCCAATTGATTATTGTGACAAATGCCAGTCTGCACTAGAGTTTTATTGTCATCCCGAACCTTCTTTCCTTGAAGAAGTACGCCAATGCATAATCCACCTCCAAGTATAGCATTCACAGCTTCCATAACAGTCCTCTGTGGAACAATTACTTATCATCAGAATGAATCCTGGAGATCAAGAATCCAAATTCCAATGAAAAAAGACCTACCGTGAAATGCCCCATCAGAGAGTAGGCTAGTGCAAAAGCTTCTGTAAGAGCATGCATACAAAACATAAACATGGATGCACCAATTTTTTTGTTACTCTTCATAACACACACTCGTATAAAGAGACATGAACAATGTAGTAGTCCTTAAACCTTGGATGAAAATGATACAAATCAACAATTATATATATACAATTTCTTCTTTAAAATCTAGCCATACAAACAATATTAAACAGCAAATAAATTCAATTTAACTATCATTGTTCAAAAATATTATACCTTCAATAAACCAACAGTTGCAGTTTCTGGGATCTCAATAAATAGCTCTGGTACCTTGAAAGACTTTATCCTAAGCTTCACTGAGTAAAAGGAAATACACCTTGGTGTAAGAACATCTTTGAATGTCAGACACCAATCAAGTCAAAAGAGTACATATGAATAACTCCATCAAAGGTTCTTATACCATGAGAATCCCTAGGTTGGTATGAATTTTGCTGACCTCCAACAGAAGATGAGGCCCCAGTAGCTGCATTATAAGGATTACTCAGCAAAAGATTATAGATAGCAAAAATAAATATTTGAGTTAGCAAAGAAGAAAAAAGACCTCCATGCATCTTTAGATAGGAACCAACAGCATCTCTAGCACTTCCCTTCTGAGGTGAATTGGAGACAAATTCACTACTAATTCCTTCTTCAGAATTTGATTGTGAACCATAACCGAAGTGTTTCCTCTTTTTGAAAGGGTATAATCTTTCAGATCGCTGATATTTGTAATAATTTTTCCTCTTGTGGTAAAGAGGCTTCGAGTCGCCACCATCTACATGCACCAATAAATCCCACTTTGAAAACAGAAAATCATTTATAATTACGTGGCAAATAATGCTGACAAGACACTTAGGACGAGCATATGTAGAAATCATAACACAACCACTTACCAGTGTTAGAAAGCATTCCATCCTTCAACCTTGGAGCTACTTTCCAGTATTTAGAAGCCAAAATTTTCCTTATCCGTCGATCTCCAATGCGTGGAGCCGTCCTAAAGAATTTTTTGGCTGTGTTAGGGTGAGTACACCCAGAGGAGTTTTCGTCATCATCTCTACTATCTACATTTACATCATCCCCATTCATGGGATAAAAACAATGGGAAATCTGATTCCCATATAAAGGAACCTTGGTGCTACTATCTGAACTTACAATTGCAGTAGATTTCCCATCGCAGACTACTGGATCCTCAAAACTGCACAAGTTAGCTGCAGGGCCATTTAGCACCTTCCCAGATTTATTAGGCTCATCTTTTACTAGTTTTTTAGTTTCACCCTCTCGTTTACAATCATCAAACCCCCTAAAACTAGAGGAGCCTACCTCTATCGTGCTTGGAAAAGTTCCCACTGCATTCTTACTTTTGCCATTCACCATCTTTTCAGCATTAAACCTTTCTTCACAGTCAGAAGTAGCTACTACAGAAGCTAATCCTAAATTGAGATCATTGTCAGCATGCAAAGATTCTTTGGAATACTGTTTTTGTTCATTACCACGTGAGACAAGCTCAGAAATAAAGAAGCTACTAGCAGGACTTCCTTGATTTCGAGCTTCAACTTTCATATTCTTTTCATTGTCTTCTTGTTCACTTTTTACAGTATTATTGACAACCATAAACTGATTTTTGTCAGCTGAGGTATTACTAGAACTGGGAGTACTTTCTTTCTCAAGCAATAAGTCTCCAGCAACAATGGCCAATAAGTCAAATGCACACATTTGCCTCTCTCCAGCTTTCTTCTTAAAGGAGCCCCTCCTCTATAGAGAGCAATAGAGAATAAGTACCAGTAAGAGATCTTGTCGACCAAAAGAAAAAAAAAGTACAAATCAAACTGGAAATATCTACATGAGAATAACATTAGAATACATTACCCTGGCTGATCTAGTAGCACGGGGTGTCGGAGGAACCTGATAGCCATTGAATCCATAATCTAACCTCTTCTGCAACACCATATCTCAGAGATCATACCAAGAAGGAATCATCACAGGCAGAAATCACTAAAGCTCACAAAAGCTAGCAAAACCTGAAAAGTGACCACAATGAAAGTAAGCAACAAATAGTGACTTATTTCATAACTATAAAACTGATATCAAAAACCAATAATAAAGTTTTCAGAAAATAGGAAATTCAGCCATAGAACACCGAACATTAGAACTTTAACCAGAAAGACTATCTTTGTTAGATAATACCAAATAAATAAATAAATATAAGATACCCACAATTTGAAATGCTACAGTGAAACCCATCAACCAGCACCAAACAAAAGATCGTTCCTTTTAACCTTCTAAAGCTTCGTGACAGAAAAAGAAAATAGAAATCTCAAAGGCCCCGCACGGTTGCCTATCTGCAACAACAAAAATTATAGCCTTTGGTAATGAATTGTAAGGAGAATTGGGATTTGAAAAGACCCATCAGAATTGAGACATCTGATCAGAATCCACGAATATAGAAACAAAAAAACTATGATCAAAAGGTAGAAGTCCATAATCAGATCATCATGATCTAACACGTGCAGAACAAAAAATAACCAGATGGACCAGGGAAAACTAGAATCAAGTAAATTTACATAAGAAGAAAAGGAATAATCGGGGCATAATGAGGGAAAAAAAGAGAGAGAAAAATTCAGAAATTAACAGAATCGTCAAAAAAGAGACTTGCTGTAATATTTGAGGTATAACATCAAAAAAAAAATTATATCCACCAAATCTTCACTCTATATTTTCCAGATATTGGAATTCTCAGTTTTAGTAGGAAAAAAGATGAAAATCTAACTGATAAAAATAATTAAAAAGAATTAAAAATCTAAAACCACAACAAAACCCTGATGTAGGGGATCCAAGTAAAGAGAATTTCAAAGAAAAAATAACATCATTTCAGACACTTTTGCAGAAAATTCTGTTCATTTCAGACCATAATAAATTGAAAAGATCTAAAACCCTCAACAAGGATCCACCTTGAAGAAATCAAAAAAATTCAAATACAAAATCCAAATATATGTTGGAGATTGAATAATAATCATTAACTCAAAATTTTTAAGGCAGAAATACCATAATTTAAAACAAAATTTATTTTTCAAAGGATAAACCATTTTGCAAATCAGATCAAATCATTTGAAAGTAGAATTGTGGATGTAGAAGTAAATCTACCAAGAAACTGCAGCAAACAAAATGAATACAAAGTAAAGGAAAAAAATTCACAGACCCACTTGACATTTTAGAAAAAAAAAAAAAGTGAAAAAATTAAAAAGTTTAAAACTTTGAGTCATGTAATATTCTATGAGTTGATTTAGTATTCTTTCAAAATTCTCTATTCGCATACTTTCCCGGAAACCAAACACAATGGTGCTAGAAAAAGCCAAAATCCTCCAGAACAAAAACAGACAAAAAACAGAAACTTCCACATGATTTGTGAAGCAGAATCCATATCTCACCTCTTAACAACGATATTTGGATTGAAAGATGCAAACTTTTATGCCTCAGAAAGCGAAATTCTGAAAATTTTGAGGCAAATTCAAAGATCAAAGAAGAAAACACAAATCCTTAACCCTTCACGCACCACTTTCCCCCATTTTTCCTCGGAATCTCTCGTTTTTTTATCCCATATTTTCTCAAGAAAAACATAGTTTCAAACGCTACCCATTTTCATTTTGTCTCTCTCTTTTCTATTTCTCTTTCCTTCTGATTGCAAAACCCCCTAAAACCACCCAACATTTGCTTAAACCCCCAGCTCTTATACCATTGACCCTTGCTTACCGGGCCTATCGGTAAGTGCTGCTAAGTGTACCGGCTAAAGACCGATTCTTCGTTATTGGGTGACCCACTAGCATTCTTAGTAACTCTCAGATTTCGACGCGTGTGTCAAAGTGAGATCCTGTGGCTATCTATGATCCATAGGATCGAAAAAAGCGTTGGATCACTAAAGAAGGAGCTTTGTCTTTTCTTTATTTTTTTATTTATTTTATTTTATTTTATTAAGTATAATTTATATATATTGCAATAATTATTTTTTTAAGCAACGAAGAGAAACACCCATTTTGAATCCTTGGACATGCTTAAGGGCAAAATAACTTGTTGATGTGATTTTCAAGCATTAATATTTTTTTATATTTAAAAAATTCAATAGATCAAAATAACATTGTGAGCTTCGCATTTTGTCTTTTAATAACATTCATTAAATTTGTAATAATTACTCAAATTCGAAATTTCACACTCATCGTATCTACCACAAAATATGAGAAGACTAATAAGACTATAAATAATTGATAATTTAGACTAATAAGACTACACATAATTGATAATTCTTAAACATCGACTGAAATATATATATATTATCATCTATATTAATATATTATATATATATTATATCTATATATATATATATATAATATCAAGAAAATAAGTAAATATATAAACTTAGAACACTAGCCTAACTTATTGGAAAGTGTAACCAATTCCAATCCTATGTAGAAAACCAAATAGAATAATTCTTATTTATATGGAACTTACCTTGATATTAATTAATAATTATTAACTTGTGCTTTCTCGCTAAGTTTGGAAATATTACGTCTAACAATGCTATTTTCATGTTTGAAATTCTTAATCTTGCATGCAAGTTCATTTGGTAATATAATCTATTTTCATATTTACAAATATAAATTTTTTTATATTTTATAATAATTTTTATGTTCAATTAATAATATTAAATTATCTTTGCACAAAAGTATAACTTAATGGTAAGTGCATATTCGATCTGACATTTGACCCAAGTTTGAATCCACCTATCCCAATACTAAAAAATAAAAATGTAATACTAGGTCTATTTCATAATACTTATCACATTTGAGAAAATAATTTACTTCAAAATACTTGTCACATTTGTAATTTCAAGAAGTAATATATTTTTTTTATATATATACTTAACCTTTATAGAACCAATAATTATTACTTCGATATAGTGGGTTTTTTTAGAGAATTAATATTAAATTAATAGTAATATAGTTAATTTACTTAATAATTTATTGTAACTTGGATAAATTTAATAGCTTTCTTAAAAGAACATGAAATTTTAAATATGATAAGTATTATAGAACAGAGACACTAGTAGATTGCATTTAACTCATAAAAGATTAGTGAAATTGAAAATTATGAATTTTTTAAAAGTGAAAAAAATGATATATATTATATAATTACGTGATCAAGAATTTTACATAAATCTTACTAAATAAATTGCTATAAGAAACAAAATAAATTTATGAAGAATATTATTATAGAGAGGAAAAAGGGTAATTCACCAAACTAATGACGTTTAAGCTTTGATTAGGACGAAAGCAGGTGGGTTATAGTTACCGTACACAACTGAATAACTTGGATCTGTTTATAATAATCACGTGTCAACAGATCCAAAGCTGAGTTTTCTTCTTCTTTTTTTATTAATTTAATGTTTCTCTTTCTTCTTCCAATCAAATGGCAAAGATCTAAAATGCTTCTTAATAGTTAATGCAGGGATTTATCTAACATATAATACTTACGTACTAACAATTGTACAGGATGATTTATACACTAAGCCAATTATATACTGTAATAATATTTTACTAGTTTAATCTTTTTTTTTTAAGTGAAAAGACAATAATGCTGTTATATTTGCAGTAAATAATTTTATATTATTAACTATGTTTATAAGAATAAGAGTAGACTCATGTATAAAATATAAGTTGTCATTATATATACTATCATATAAATAAATATTTAATCGAGCTAATTTTACAAAAATATGGTACTAAAATATTTAAAATGTACAATTTTATAAATTAAATTGTTCAATTGATAAAATAAAAGCTAAAAGTGTTATAAATTTTTTCATAATAAATATAAATGTGAAAACAAATTGTAATATCTAACAGGAATATCTGTGAGTTATATAATAGGAATAACACTCTCTTTAGCTCACCAAATTGATGAAAACAACTGTGATTAATAGGACTCGAACTCGGGACTTCTTACTTCTAAAAAAACCTATTACCCAGATATAAAAGATAAATGCATAATCTTTTCAAAAAAAAAAAATGCAGAATGAATAATCTACTAATTTAATTATAGTTATATCTATTTTTTATTACACTATAAAAATTAATTTAAATGATTATAGATGAAAATGATTTAACAAGTCAATTTAGTCAAGGATTAGGGTTTCTTTTTATAAATTTATTTAGAGCTCCAATAGGCTGAAATAATATTTCGAACTATACAATAAGAAGGTATATATCGTTTAATTAACTGAGCCTTGTATTGAATTAAAAAAAAAGGCTAATTTTTTTGAAGGAAAAAAAAAATATTGACAGGGATTGACAGGGGCATATTCGTCATTTGCGGGAGCTTGCATTGTAAGTATTCAAGCAGACAGTTATACCGATAAAGCAGTAATGCACTTTTGTTTATTTTCCGGTTTGGTTGAACAAACTCGTGGTCTGTTTTTCCGGTTCCGTGCCACGTAGGATAAAAGAAGGTGATTTCCCTAGGTGGCAGAAGAAGAGGTTCCTATTGGTTGCTTTTCAGTCAGCATTATCTGAGAGCGGAAATAACACAAAATTAAAGAAAAATACAACAAAGAGAATTTGAAAATGATATCATCAATTAATTAAAAAAAATAAAATAATAGTGATCGGCGTGAGGGAAATTTCCGTTAGAGATAACGTTGACGGAAAGATTTGCGTGGCAAGTGCAAAGCCAAGCTAAGATAGGCAACAGCGTTATGTTCGGAGAGGGATAAGTGGTGGGCCCATGAAATAAATAAATATGTCAACAAAATTTGAAAAACAAATTTTTTTTGCTCCTCCTTATTAAAAAAAGGTCAAAAAATTGATCTGAAACTGACACGTGGCAGAAAAAAGAGCGGGTCACCAAGAAGAAGAAGAAGGGTAGTGAGGGTTTTAGGTTTTTGTTTGGTTTTTATTTATTTTTATTATCATTATTTATAAGAATAAGAAAATGGGAATTATCGTGACACGTGGCATGGAGGGAATGGCTATCTACTATTGTATATTGAAGTGGTAGTTACAGAGACTTTGTAGGGAGGGCTTTGAGTGTGTTATTTTTCTAGAGTAATGTGATGTTGAGGCTTACAAAATGTGGACCTTTCATCCTTTACATGCCAAGATTTCTTAAGTACAGATAATCTAGCTATTTTGTAACAAAAAAAAAAAAATTTCTTACAAAATTTTTTCTCATGAATCTAGTGTTGGAATTTAATTATGTAATAAATATAATTTGTTAAAATTTGATTTAGTTAATAATTTAATAATTTGTTAAAAAAACCTTAATTTCGCAGGATGACGAAAAATGTAAATAACCTATCCATTTGTTTCTAATTAGTTAAAAAACATTTATATTTTTAACTTATTAAATAAAAAATATTCATTATGAATGATAATTAGTGAATGGTGGTGATAGCTACCAATAATTAATGAACGTGTTTTATAAGATTATAATAAGTTTATTAATGTTTAGAAAAATATTTTCTTCCAAGTGATTAATGTTTGGCAAAAATGTTTCTTTGTAAGTGATTGATGTTTAGCAAAAATGACTTAGTTTTCCTTTAATTAAAAAAATATTTTTCAATTGATTGATTTTTTTAAATACTTCAAAAATATTTTACAGACAAATTATTTTTTGAAAACAAGCAAAACGATATATTTACCTTGTTTATGATTTTTCACTTAAAAAAAAGTATATTTGACTAACAATTAATAACCAGTAAAAACTGGCTGATTATTTGATAAATCTTAGAAATTGTTAGTGTTAAAATGCTAAATAATTATTAAGAGTATAATTATTTTAATATATTTTTATTGATTAATTTTTTTATTATTTTTAAGGTGGAGGTATTATTTCTGTTTTACTCTATTATATAAATAAAATATTGATTAAATTTAATAATTATTATTATACACAAAATTATCACATAAAAAAATATTAATTTGAAAAATTATTAGTAATTATTTTTATAAAACTAATATGATCCAAACGTAATCTAAATACAAATTAGCTAATAAAATAGGAAAAATTTTCAAAATACAGTTGATGAAAATGAAATCGTTCCTTACCTTCTAAATTAATTAAATTGGTCAAGTTTGTAGACCGTTAAAATGAACAAAGGCCTAAATACCTTGTGCAAGTATAAATTAATTAAATCGATATAAATTAATCATTAATTAGGTGAATCATACCAAATAATTCCTTACTATACATAAATTTGATTAATGTCAAATTTCTTCATACTATTATTTATTTTCCTTATTTTATTTTTTCATTTTTTTATAACAGCTTTAATGCAATTAAATTGACGGCCTTAACCTTTTAATTCCAAGGCAATTGGGCATTTTCGATTGTATCATATCAATACCAAATGAGGTGTTTTTTGGTGTGTGATTGTTCAACTAAAACTTGTACTCAAATATTTCTCAAAAAAAATTGTATATATTTAATGGTATTTTTTTTTTTTTGGTTATGAAATAGTTGTTCTTAATTTTAATTTAAATATTTAAATATAAAATGATTATTTCGTAAAATATCTATTTAATAATTTCTAATTTGATTGATTTTCTAACCCGATGTTTGTTTACAAATAAATTTGAAATATTTATGAGTAAAATATTATAAAATTTTTTATTTAATTATGTCCATCTTCATAAAATTGAGTTTGCGAGAGTTATTAATATTTTCTTTCATATCAAATACAAAAATGTGAAAGTTCAAATTAATTTCATAAAATCTTTTATGTCAAATATTATGAGAATTTTATCATATGAAGTAAAAATATAAGCTGAAAATGCTAATGAACTTTAATTCATACTATTGGAATTTTCCTTAAAGTTAAAAAGTCTTAGAGTTTAAATCTGCGATTAGAGTCCAACTTTAACCTGATGGACAGTAGTATTTGAAATAGTATTTAGTATTTTCATTAGGTCAATGTAATATCTATCCAAGCGTTTAGAGTTTGAGTTTGAGACAGTGTTTTACAAAATGTTATCTTCATTAACGTTTAGCATTTTTTATAATTTTTTATAACACTTATACCCATAATTTGTATTTACCTTGTTTCCCGCTTTCATACTTTTTTGTGGTTTTGTCTTAAATAGATAATCAAATAATTATTTGTACCGAACAATTTTATTCTAAACTGCTATATAAATAATTAACTACTAACAATTAATATCTAACAGCTAACTACTAGTAAAACAGTTGACAACTATTAAAACAACTAAAACAGCTAAAATTGACGAGCAAGACTCTTTGAAGGAAAAATGTAGGTAAAATGTAAAATTACACTTTACAAGGATAAATTGGACTTTATTTCTATTTTATTTTATTACTTTATATGTTTACATTTTTTTTTTCCATTATGAATAATATTTACACGTTTTATTTCAAAAATAAAAATATAAGGGAAAATGTTTTTTTTTTTTAAAAAAAAAAAAAGAGGCTGCCACCCTTTCCGACTTTCTAGGGGGAGAATCTGTTGCCTTGCAGAAACGCAACCTTTTTTACTTTTAGTGACGGTCGAATTTTACTTCTGTTCTATTACTCCCATTTTGCCCCTTCTACTCTTATTCATTTACCATTCTTTACTCAATCATGTAAAGAAGAGTTTTTTGGTTTCTTCATAAAAAAAAGAGTTTATCAGTGAATTTCCTTTCTTTTTAAATTGAGTTTTGACAAACGCACAAATTGTTTTCATAATAAAATATTTTTGTATTCTTTATAACTAATAAAAATTATTTAAAAAGTTTAGAATTAAGAAAGAAAAATTATATAAAGAAAAAAAATTATAAAAAATTATAGTGTCTTATAAAAATAACTAAGCAAAATATTTAATTTAAAAAAATATAGAATTAAAAAATATTTGGTTAAAAAATTGTATTATTTTATTATTTCTTAATTGTACTTTATCTAAATGAAATATTTCATTATTTTTTATTTATATTTTGATTTACATTAAAATTTTTTAATAATAAATTGAATTTTTTATTTTTTAGTGCAAGTTTAGCCAATTAATTGTATAAAAAGTTGATTTTTAAACAAACTGAATATTACTTCCAAGTTCAGCGTTCAAATAGAACTTTATTCCTTTTAATAACATAAAATTATTTAAATTAGAAAATATTGCTGGCAGATACAAAAGTGTGGATAAAATAGATATTAGAAAAATAATAAATTAAGATATAGTAGTCCAGAAGTGAGGATAAAACTTATGTTCATTGGGTTCATGCTTTGTTTGACAAAAGCACATGACCTGTGGAGGTTTTAACAGATCACAACTCAGTTGATGACACGTTGAGTTGTCTTCTACATGTTACTAAATATTGAGGTATATTAAAAAAAATTTAAATAAAATTTATTGCATCAGAAATTACCGAAATCCAAAACCCTAAACCCGAATTTGAATATCAAATTATATTAAAGATTATCAAAAGAGAAAGTAATTGAAGAAAAAGAAAGGCAAAAGGCCATATTTGTGTTTGGAGGAGTTTGAAGTTTTAAGGAAGTGTGAGATTTCTTGACGTAAAAGGGACTAAATTGATCCATTTTGTTTTATTAATTATTAATTAAATATATGAAATGTCAATGGGGATGGTGTGAGTTAGATGTGCAAAGCTATTTGGACATGTTTCTGTTTTATTGCACCTTTCAACACTGACTTTCTAACAATTTTACTTTAACAACAAATTTAACGTTGTATAAACAAATTAACCTATGATTAATCATATTTTAATGTGAATATATTTAATTACGCTATAAAAAAAATTTAATTTCATTTGCATACTAAATATCAACGTTGGTCCCTGTAATTATCAGCGTCCTGTGTATAAATTCTAGATAGGTCCCTGGGTTTTTTTTTTGAAAAGAAATTTGGTCCCTAATTAATATTTATATTCTGCAAATACAATTAATTATACTTTAATATAATTATTTTGGTCCCTGGTTTTTAGGTTTTTAGTTTTATTTAATAAAAACCGAATCAAATTAAAAAAAAAAATTCTATTAATACTAAAATCAAATAAATTTATTAAAAAATGAAATTAAACCGAATAAAATAAAAAATTTTCATAACCTTTGAAGTTAAATCATGTGTTTTAATATCAATGGTAAATCCCCAAATAGCACATGTTTGTGAGTTGGGAGGCAAATTCAACTTTTAAAATTGTGGGTAGTTACATCTAATAATTGTAAGTTTGAAACCTCAAACCTCTACTTCATTGTCCTTCTAAGAATCTAACATGGTACAATTTCAAAATTCCATCTACATTTCAAAAATTGGAGTTGTCTCTTTTCTTTGAACAAAAAAGAAAAAACAAATGTCATTATTACCACAATCATGAATCTCAGTAAATTGAAATCAATCAATCATTCAGATTCCATATTCAAATAAAATTTCAGCTCTAGTTTAAAATTGCTAACAATTATTACCAACAAGTAAAAACTCGATCTTTTTTTTTTTTTTTAAATAATAATAAGGGGTTTCAAATTCAGTCTATTTTACTAATTATAAGAGTTTGATTTTCTAATCTATAAAATATTGAAAAGAAAAATTATTAGATGATATAGATAAAAAGGTAATCTAACTTTCAATTAAAATAATAAAAGCACATCTTAATTTAAAAAAAATATATATTTAAAAGCATAAAATTAGAATTGATTTTAGCATGAAGAATACTTAAAGAGAGACCATGGGATCATGGGTGCACTCTGACAATAAAGATTAAATATGTTTAGGACATATGTATTGACACAATACAATACAACTAAGTATCATATGTAGAGGAGGGAAGACAATCATTTCCCACTTGGGTGTTTTGTACTGTGTTTTGAACATAGCAAACATGTGCTTCCTTCTGTATGTTTTCACTGGACAAATGAATTTTTTTTACTTCTTTCATTTGATTATAACAAACTTCCACTACTGATCGAGTTGCCATAAGTAGGGGTGTAAATGAGTTTGATCGGTTTGTAAGCTGTTCGAATTCGGTTTGAGAAAAGTTCAAAAAAAATTCGATCGAGATCGAGTTCGAACCTAATGACGTTCATCTCGAAAACTCGTTAAGTCTTATCGAGCTCTATCAAGCTTTTATATACATATATATAATATTTATTTTAAAATTATTCAAACATTGAATCGAGCTGATCTTGAACTTAAAAAAAATTTTTGAGTTGAATTCAAGTTTCAAGTCGAGCTCAAGTTTTTATCGAGTGAACTTGAGTTAAAAATTTTCAGACTCGTCGAATTTCGAGCTTGACAGATTCAAACTCAGCCCGACTCATTTAAGCGATAAGATTAAGAATACTTTGCAAGACACCATAATGCTCGGTAATGACCAATCCATTTTCTTGTAGGACTTTCCTTTTTATCTCTCAACTTTAAGTCATTTTCTTGGTCCGAAGGAAAGGACCAGCCCACAGCAAACAACTAATTAGTGGCCAACAACTTACAAAACTGCCTGCTAAAATGTGTTCATACTAAATTTTCCATTTGCTTAAAAGGTAAATAGCAACAAACAATCTAATTCTAAGTTACTTACAATTTTAATTCATGTATTAAATGAAAATATATTTAATTACATTACATATGATACTCCCTCCGTTTTATAATTCTTGTCTTATTTTTTTTTCATCCATTCCAAAGCAATTAGTAGTTCACTCGTAAGAAGTGATTCAAATGGTAAGACACACTTGAATTTAACAATTAGATTTATGGAAAATGCACATATCGAGAGAGGCAGCTATGAACCCCGAAAGGAGAATAGTCTTATACTCGAAAAGAATTCGGGATACTAGTGAGGGAAAAGATGCTATTGGTTGTCCAGCATCACTTGAATAAACTTAAGCCACTGAAAAATAGAATTATTAATTTCCTCTTCTTTATCCCATAAACTCTCCCTATTTTGCAATAGTGAAAGGAAAAGAAAGGAATTATGAGATGACAAACTTTCTGTTAGAATATGTAAGTGGCTTACAGATCATATATTCATGTACAGGGAAATCCCCAAAATACCAAAATTTTTATGAGTAAATTTGGAAAAGATAGATCAGGATGTTGGGTTCATCAGAAACATGGAATAAGGGGGAAAAAAATAGCTAGAAAAATGGTTCTAAACAGACAAACATATTGATAAAAGAAATCCTCAAACCCCATTGCAAAGGGATTATGGAAATGGAGATATAATGTACAAATGCCACAAACAAGAGCTAGATTTCCACATTGACTGATGAATTCTATGCCAATGAGTTAGGACTGCAGAAATCCAAGCAAACACGCAGACAATAGACCTCATTCTGCAGACTGCTTGCCAAACTGCCACGGATTGAACTCAATTGATTTAACGTCAACTTGTTCTATGTTGTCTGAGCTATCCACAACACCTCTATGTTGACTGTATTTACCGTTGTATCTATAGACTTCCAAGTCACCCCAGGGTGTAGGTGCAACTTCATCAGTCATGTCAAACCATCTTGGTGTAAATTTATGGCCTCCAGCTTCTCGTTCTCTTTTTTCAGCTCTCTGCCTTTCCTCCAAACTGAAGGATTGAGAAAATGCAGGTAAACACATTATAAAATCATAAGAAGTGAGTTTGCTTGAACAGTCAAGAGATAAAAGGGTGTAAGAGAGAGAGAGAGAGAGAGAGAGAGAGAGAGAGAGAGAGAGAGAGAAAGACCTGCTCTTTTCAGAACCAGATTTCGATAGATCACCCTTCTCAAGTGCTAATCTATCAGGGCGCAAACGAGAATCAGATGCTAATAACTTTCTAGGAGCTGTGTCAAAGCTGTTAATTTTGTGTGCAAAATATGTGTACTGAAATTTATCATTTTCTGGGACATCAGCAAGGTGCCAGATCTGCAGAAGCAAAATCAAACAGAAACTGAAACTGAGAAGCAATTCTATGTCAAAATTTAAATAACAAAGTCAGATGTGAGCAAACCTAGAGCTAATTTGTTATGATTCACTATGGAAGACAAGGTATGGGACTTAACTTGGATCCCACATTAAAAGTCTAGGATTTCAAAGTGGGGTTTAAATAAATTTGGGCTCTCCAACCTCATCGGTAACTTTTGAAGTATGTTTCTCCCTAAGTCATATCAAAGCGAACCAACGCTTCTCCTATTTGCATTAAAGTGGCACAGGTGATGATATTGCAGTGTTTGCTAAGGGCTAGATGGTGATAGCAGTATTGATATTTACAGTTGCAGCTAGGAGAAACCTAGCGCATGCCTATCCTAGCACAAAGTCAACCCGTCCTGGACATCGAGGCTGGAGAGTGTGGTAGAATGTTGTGATTTGGATCTCGCATTGAAAGTATGAGATTTCAATTCAATGTGGTGTTTGTACAAACTTGGTCTCTACAACCTCAATGACTAACTTTTGAGATATAATTCTCCTAAGGTCATACCATAGTTGCTCATCAGTTACCACAAAATATGTATCCCATCACAAATGCTATAGGTTAAGTGAAGCATAATACCAGCATGCTAAATGCCAAAATTTGCAAAATAGAACTTAACATGTCAGAAGAGCTGACTTTTGTTTCAGATCAAATGACGAAGGAAAATGGAAGCAAAAAGAAATATCATATGGTGAAAGTTCTTACCTCCTTCAATTCTGAACCTGCAAGAGGTTCTCCTTCTAAATCACATGGTTGATAGCTTAATGATTCATTCCACTTCCCTGTCATCAATATTTTGGGTTCTTCAGCAGCATTATAAACATATCCATCCACTTCATAGCGACCAGCGCTGCAATCAAGCATAATTGTCTTTCAGTAACCACCAGCAGGTCACAAGCAAGCATATGCTAAAAAAAATTTTTAATGCGATGATTCAGATCCTTGTGGAAATAAAAATTGTGCATATGAAACCCCATCCCAGCCCCTCTTTTCTCTTTTTCCCAACCCACCCTAAAGATAAAAAACAATAGAGAAATATAGAGTGTGTAGATGAGTCGAATGTACTTGATTGAACTCAGTGAATGTGAGATGATGTAATCAAATCAAGCATTTCCAACTTCACCTCATAGTTTCAAAGAAAGATTAGAAAAGAGGGAGAGAGAGCATGAAGAAATAAATGGATGAAGTCTACATGTAACTCCAGCATGATAGCATTCATCAAATATTGAGCAACAAACCATCACAGGTTTTCCCATTTCTAGGATTGTAAAGGTAATTATGCCACTAATTATAAATTCATGAAACACCGATATATAATGAATAGAACAACGAATATTGGAGGACTAGAATCATAAGATAGGAAAAGATGGAAATAAGTTAAATACCCAAACCAGCCGCATGGTTGAAAATAGAGAACAACTTTATCCCCAGTGGTCAAATTCGTCAATATCATCTCCCCAGGCGAATCAACCCAAGTCCGTCCAAAAATAAGATTGTTAACCTTTGTGAGAGGTGGCACTAGATCTAAAACCACACCATCTCTTTTAAGAGTCACACGTGTTCTGCAAAAAAGTAAACAAATATGAATTTATAAACTATTGAAATGCTCAAACTCTCATAAAGTTAAACATCAATTGATACGAAAAATGGCTAATTGAAGAACAATGTTGTCAACTATAATATGTCATAGTCAACCAATATCATAGGCAAATAACAATACAAATCCCCAAGGAAACAGTCCAGAGGTAAAAGCTTGAAATTTCCATAATGAGGTATCCAGTTTGAATCTCACTGGATGGGAAAAGAAAAAAAACAAACTAATAACAGGCACAAAATAGATCAGATAGGATCTCAAATATACTGATACATGACAATGACAACTAACAAAGACACATGTTTTTCTTCATCTGATAGAAGTCAATATTTAGACCACCTTCAGGAAAAAGGGAGTTGACGTTAAGGAAAATGGCAGGTGGAAAACGGAGAGAGCAAAGTCACTTTACCTTGCTCAAAGGGGAACACCCCCAGGTGGAAAACGGAGAGAGGCCAAAGTCACTTACCTTTGCTTCAAAGGGGAACACCCCCCGCCCCCCCCCCCCAACGCACCACCCACAATACGTATCCTCTGTCATTCAGAACGCAAAGTTTTAATAAGTTGCTATCCCCCCCCCCCCCAACCACCACCACAAGCGTATCCTCTGTCATCAGAGCAAGTTTTATAAGTTGCTATCTTCAACTAACAGGGGATCACCAATAAAAACTGGCAAAATATTTTTAAACAAATGTCTCCCAACAGAATTTAGTACCTTAAAGACACATTAAAGTACAGAAAACAAACTATAGAAGTGGCCAGTGCAGGTATTACCTTCCAACTGGATAAACATCAAGAGAGTTTCCTAAAAATTTAGTTTTCAACTTCGATGTTATATCATAGGTAAAATGCTCATTTTCAGCATGGCCAGCACTCATTGGGGGATGATGGCTCACCTGATAAAAACATATGGGAAGACAATCAATATTTCAAGCAACGTAAAAAAAGCTAATGAAATCAAATGAAAGCATCTTGCAACATGTGAGCTCCAGTTATGGATCAAATATAAGCAGACACAATATTTTAGATAAAAAAGAAGGGAAAGGATAAAGAAGCAAGGAAGAGACTTTTGCATTTCTTTTATGTGTACATGTGAGGGGGGAAAAGAAAAGGCAAGGATGGTAATTGAGCCGGACTTGCTTCAAGAAAAAGTAAATAGTTAAAAACTCACCTGCTCTGAAATAAATGTAATTCCACCATGATTAGTCATTTCATAAGTCTCTCCAAGAATGGGATTAAATGGCTTCCATGTTCGTTGGAAGGCATAGTAGACAGAGATAGCCCATGACGCTGCACCAGGTAACATAAAAATTTAGTTCCTTAAATGAATAAGCCACATGAAAACTTGAGTGAAAAGTATACTACTCACTAGCATATGCCATGCGCAAGTAAGGATCCTCGCATTCATCTGCTTGATCCAATAAATAGGAGTATTCCATCAACTGAAATGGGCAGGCATAATTTAGAAAACAATGCAGACTATAAGGAGCATCAATCTCGTAAAAAACCATAAAATGATGCAAATAGAAAGCAACAAACCTCTGCCATTTTTTGAAGCATAGTCATTGGCTCAAAAATAAGGACCGGAAGTGTTACCATAGATGTAACATCAGAGCCTATGTATTTGTGCATCATTTTCCAGTAGCTATCTCGGTCCTATATAAAATAAAATCAAGGTCAATTCGGGATCAAGCAAGCGTAAAACGAAAATTATTAGTAGACAAGAAAAGGAAATGAAAAAGAGGAAAGCAAAACAAAAAAGGATTTGCCAAAAACCAATCCAAGATCAGCTAGCACAAGAACTCCAAAACACAGGATAATAGAGTTCCAGACATGTCTAGACTTTCAAACTGTCAGATATGGCAACTATATGTTGTTTGAAGCTAACACCAAGAAACGGAACATATTCAATCCATGATGAGCATTCTGTAAAGTGCATGAACCAAGTAGCGACCCAACACCCAAAAGTATATTGAAAAGAAAAATTGCAACTCCAACATAAATAACATACAAAAAGAGAATGGAAACTCAAGGTAGTAGGGAACAAAAGGGAGCATACCTCCTGCTTCCATCTTCCCTTCTGAGCTTCCTCCGCTGCATCATCTTTGCCACCCTCTGGATTTACAACTTCTACTCCTTCATATCCAAGCAATCTGTACACATTAAGAACAACCAAAGTACAGCATACCCATCAAGCACAGAAAACACCCATATGCTAAATTCAAAAACTTGAACAATCCAATTAAATTGGTGTTAATCAAGCAATCCATGAAAAAATAATAACTTAAAACTAAACGGATCGAAATCAAATTGGGCATGTAACTAAAATTTCAGTAAGTAAGAAGGAAAACTCGAAGTACCCATTAACAGATCGATGCATAGCGTTGCTAAACATGGACAAGCCAGAAGTCATGGCAGCAAAAAGCCCTTTACTTTGATTGTTATTAGGAGTACCCATTTAAGTTTCTGTGATTATCTAGCAATTAAAACCTTGTCTTCTTGTTATCAGAAGCAAAGGAAAGGGGCGGCTGTTTAAAATCGCAGCAATTGAGTGACGGAGAGAAAGAGTGTTTGATTTGGACCAATGAACAGAGGAAATACGAGAGAGATCTGCGATTTTAAAAGAGAAAAAGCGAGAAGAAAAACGAAAAGGGGTTGGCGGTTTGAAGTTTGAAGTGGAATGGGCCTCTTACAAGCATATTCTTATTGGCACTTTATTGGTTCACACGTTTGGGTTCATCAATGATCAATCCTGCCATGCAATAAAGATTAGTGCAAGGTGGAAACGATAAGCCATAACAACCAGTGCAAGGCTGGTTCTGCTCTGTCCGCCATGCAAGAAATATACACAAATTTATATATATAAATTTTTCAAATTAAAATCATTTTAGCCTAATTAGTAACTAATTATGAACAGATGTTGTTAATTTTCTTTTTTTTTTTTTTTATAAATATTGAGAAGCTCCACTTTAGAATTTCAATAGGCTGTAAATTAGTTGAAAAGCACTTGTGAGTTGTGAGTTAGCTCAAGACATGGTTTAAAAAAAAAACACTTCATAAGTTCACCACATCAAGTTTTAACTATAAACTATAAATAGTAAAGTTAAAATTTTTATTTTTTAAGCTCCATTTGTTTCGATAAAATAATTGACAGGAAAATATTTTCCACAATTTTCCATTGTTTGGGGGCATTCAGGAAAATAAATCAACGGAAAATATTTTTTTGGTCAAAGGAAAATTAAGTCATTTTTACGAAAAGAGGAGTCTAGGCAGGCGTTTCTGAACCTTAATTGAAATCGGAATCCCGCCCTCTTATTCAAGCATAGTTCCTTAATTTGAGCACTTGATTCTTAGAGTGGGTTTCACACTGTTGTGCATCAAAATGCACTTTCTAGATTTCCTGCCCCACATCTTTTGTCATTTCCAATATAACCCGAAAATTAGCGATAGCGGTAGACATACACGATAAAGCCATTTTAATACCGATTTACAGTCACTATGTGCGGTTCTGATCCCCTGAGATCTCGACAACTTGTCTAAGAAAAATATATTACTAAAATTTTAATAATAATTAAGGTAACAAGTTGTTTCACAAATTTAAGAGAGACCATAATTCGTCGTATAATTATAACTATTATAAGACAGATGGTCTAGTCTTAATTATTTTCTTTTTTTTGTTCTTTATAATGATTAGAGAATCTCACTTATAGAGAGTCTAAAATACGAGCCTGTATACATCAGTTGAGAAGCACTTTGTGCCATTGTGAGTTTAAGCTTCATGGAACCACCTCCGATATTTAAATAAAAAAACCACACTCCTATAAGTTCACCACAAATCAATATTTTAATAAATTAACAATATTTAGATAGTAAAATTAAAAATTTTTATTTATTTAAGCTCCATTTTGTTTGTCGATAAAAATAGACTTGACATTAAATATTTTCTCGCACATATTCCATGTTTTGGGCTTAAATGGTTTTTACGAGAGTTGACTGCTCGCTTATAGATCTCAAATTGTTGTATATAAATTGAGGCAGTTGGCACCGCAATAAATTATAAACAACGAAAATATTTTTTTTGGTCAAAGGAAAAATTTAAGTCATTTTTAAGGAAAATGACTTCCATCTATCGAAGAGCGTAAATATTTCCGACTTTACAAACTTATTATAATTTACAAGATCTAATATTTGTTAATTCATTAATCATGGCAGTAATACTAACCATTACTCACCTATTTACATCCACCCATTCAACCAACGAGCCATGCTTCGACACTACGACTTTCATAATTCTTATTTTTTTTTTTTGCATTATTTCTCATATTAATAATAAAATTTCATTATTCTCATATTTAATAATAAAATTTTTAAAATACGAAATTTATATTATTAGTATTTTATTTTTATGGTCTTATGAATTAAAATTTTTAATATTTTAAAATAATTTTTAAATTGCAACCAAATAACGGAAAATAAATCATTTGAAAAATATTTACTAGGAAAACATTTTCCAAATGACTTATTCATATTTTCCGGACACAAATAGAGCCTTAAGCTTCTAACTTGATCATATTTTTATCAAGCCGACCTCGAATTTAATAAAATTAGATTGTTTATTGCCCTTTTTGATTAAGTTGGACAAAAATATCATTTTAAGTATATTTTAAAGTAGCAAATTATGTCTTAATTATCTGATTCAGATTGATTAATTTATAATTATAACTATAATTTATATCCTTTAAAGAAATTAACTTGTATTTATATTTAAAGCTATTTAGACGTGGATTAGTACCTCAAAATTAAACCGACTTCCTGATATTAAAAAAGAATAATAATTAGAGATTGATCTAAGTAAAAATGATTTAGATTTCTTAAATAAAGGTGCGATTGGATTGATGCTTAGCTTGGTGATCAAGTTCTCACGTAACCGATAATGTTTTCGATTATATTATGACCTTATAGAATTAAGGTAAATACGTATTCATAAATCTAATAACTAATATATATACTAATAACTAATATATAATATATATATATATATGATATATATATATATTATTATAATTTGGCAGTCCTTGTTGTTAATTAATAATGACTTTATATATAATTGCAGTCTTGTTTTAATTAAATGACTTCTAGCCTTCTACTTTGTAATGGTGATAAATTTATTTAATCGCAATTTTTTTTATTTGATTAGCATTTGGGTTATTAGTTATTAATTACAGATTGCTTGATCTGGCAATTGGAATTTATCAACTCAAATTTTGATATTTCAAAGGTATAACATCACATGCTCTCTACTACCATATGCCAGCCAACAACTCACAAATCAAGCAATCATGTAAAGGAATCAAGTTTTTATTTTTATTTATTTTTTTATTTTTTTTAAAAAGACTACACTACACCCAATTAACTAAAAATTTTTGGTACTTGGTATTCCCCTATATTATATTAAGAAAAAAGTATTTTGCGATTTAATCCATTAAATTAATAAAATGATTTTTTTATTTATAATTCCATAAAAATTTGTGTTTTTTTTTTTGTCTGCAATTAATCTCACATTTGAACGGGTGAATACACTAGGGAGGAGTTTGGAGAGATGGAAAATTAAAATTCCATAAAGAAAAGATATTTTTAATTATATAATAACATTTATTCTCCCAATTATGCCACATCTCTGAAAATTCTTTATTATCATTCCAAACATGATAATTTAACTATTATATAATAGTTTCCTAGAAAAGTAATTTTACACAGGAAAGTTAAAATTCTAATAACCAGACAAGACTTGCTAAAAAAACAGAGACCAGAACATTCAGAAACAGAAATAGAATAGTAAAGAGGTAAGGCTTATAAGAAATATAAGAAAAAATGGAATAAGAGAAAGAAACCAATAAGATAATATAATAATGGCTTCTTGACAGGCTAAGGAGTATAACTTCTCAAACCCAATTGAGATCACAATGTACAAATGCCAACAAACAACAGCTAGATTCCACACCATTCCAAGGAGTCAACCAACTGCATAGCCAAACCAAATATGAACACAAGACCTGTATCATTCTGCAGACAAATTACCAAACTGCCATGGGTTGAATTCAATTGATTTTGAATCAACCTCTTCTATGCTGTCGGAGCTTTCCACCGCAGCCCTATGTTCGCTGTATTTTCCATTGTACTGGTAGATTTCAAGGTCACCCCATGGTGTAGGTGTGACCTCTTCGGTCATATCAAACCATCTTGGTATAAATTTATGGTTTTTGGCCTCTCGTTCTCTTTTTTCGGCTCTCTGCCTTTCCTCCAAACTGAAAGGATTAAGAAAATGTTGGGGTAAGGCTTTTAATAAGGCTTAAAGTCAGAAAAAACATATTGATCTTGCATTAACCAAAAAAATGATAAAATGTGGTTGAGAGAGAAACCTGCTCTTTTCGGCACCAGCTTTTGATAGATCACCCTTCTCAAGTGCTGATCTATCAGGACGCAAACGAGAATCAGATGGTAACAACTTCTTAGGAGCTGTGTCATAGCTGTTTAGTTTATGTGCAAAATATGTATACTGAAATTTATCATTTTTGGGCACATCAGCAACATGCCACACCTGCAGCACAAAAATTAAAAACTGAAAATTAGTAGTTGTTCTTTGGAAATTTTTGGAATTAATGTACATATAAAAAAAGGACAATACCAAGATGCCAAATGCAAAACTTGCATCACAAAGCCTGACAAGTTACAATAATTGTTTACTGTGTTTTAAATCAAATGAAAGCGAAATAAAGCAGTATCATTTAGTAACAGTTGTTACCTCCTTCAATTCTGAGCCCGGAAGAGGTTCTCCTTCCATATCACATGGTTGATAGCTCATTGACTCATTCCATTTTCCTGTCATCAATAATTTGGGTTCTTCAGCAGAATTATAAACGTATCCATCCACTTCGTAGCGACCAGCACTGCAATCAAGCATAATTGTCTTTCAGTCTCCATCAGCAGATTGGAAGGCAAGTATAGATTAAGCAAAAGTCAAATGCAATGATGGCTGTCATCTATGTAGAGACGTATTTTGAGGATGTGGAACTCTACAGAACCCCTCCCCCAACCCCCCGTGGAACTTCTACAGAAACCCCTCCCCCAAACCCCCCCCCCCCAAAAAAAAAAAAAAATAAAAATAAAAAAAAAAAAAATAAAAATAAAAATAAAAATAATAATAATAATAATAATAAAAGAGATTGGATACATCAATTTTAAACAGGCATTTTCAACTTCACATTACACATATTCGAGAGAGAGAGTAGCCGATTGTGCATGTAAAGTCTAAATGACTCTAACATGAATAGTCAAAAATTAAATCTCAAGCCATCCAGGACTAAGAATTTTTAAGAATATTGCAGGCAATTATGCCAAAGCTTAAATTATATGTGCATCAACTTCCCATATTTTAAATAGGGGAGCTAAGGTTGAGGAATGGAACCATAAATTAGAAAGAGAGAGAAATAGGTTAAATACCCAAACCAGCCACAAGGTTGGAAATATAGAACAACTTTATCTCCAGTAGTCAAATTTGTCATTATCATCTCCCCAAGTGTATCAACCCATGTCCGTCCAAATATTAGATTGTTAGCCTTTGTGGGTGGGGGCACTAGATCTAAAACCACGCCGTCCCTTTTAAGTGTCACACGTGTTCTGCAAAGAAGTTAACAAATCTCAATTTACAAACTATTTAAGAAGCTCAAATTGTAATTTACCTTGACATAAAGCGATATTAAAAATTGCTAAATAAAGAAAAATGTTATCAACTACAATAATTCCCTAGTTATAATCAACAAATATCATTTCCAAATAGTAAGGAAAAAAATGAATAAAGAGAGGCTTTTAAATCTACTGTAGATTTCGATGACAACCAACAAATACAAATGTCTCTTACTTTACTGAAAGGTTGTACTTAAACTAAATTTGGAAAAAAAAGACAAGAAAAAGGAAATGGAGGGAAAGAAAATGGTGGGTGGAAAATGGGAAAGGAATGTCGATAGTTAAGAACGTTTCTTCAGTATTCCATCTGTCTATTAGTGAAAGCGGAATCCAAGACGAATCTCCACATCAAGGCGATTACGTGCGCTTACCTTGTTTGGGAGTTAAGAGAACATGTGGGGAAAGATGAGTAAGGTAAAAAGAAATAATTCAAACCATTAAGAATAGACTCACAAACTCTCACAAAAGGCTATCGTCTGCAATTGGAGAAAGTTCTATAGATCAACGGAAAAGGAAAAAGGGTTTGGAAAAAAAAAAAAAGCCTCTTATATGTAGATTCTCCATTGACTTTTAAAGCAACCAGAGATTACAAGATACGGAGTCCTAAAAATTGAAGACAAAATAAAATAAAGAAAACAAAGAAAAAAGGACCATGGCAATCTCGGTATTACCTTCCAACTGGATAAATATCAAGAGAGTTCCCCAGAAATTTAGTTTTCAACTTCGATGTTATATCATAGGTAAAATGCTCATTTTCAGCATGGCCAGCACTCATTGGGGGATGATGGCTCACCTGACAAAACCATACAGTGAAATTTGTGTCATAATACAAGCAATATAAAATAGAAAACAAAACCAAATGAAAGAAACTTTCGACAAGCAAGCTCCAGATGCAGATCAAATATAGCCAGACACCAGATAACTTTTGATGGCATGAAAGGGAAAGGAGAAAGGAAGAGCTTTTGCATTTGTTGTACAAGCAAGAAAAGGGAACAAGTATATAAATGAAGCTGGGTTTACTTCAAGAAAACGGATATAGTTGAAGACTTACCTGCTCTGAAATAAATGTAATCCCATCATGATTAACCATTTCATAAGTCTCTCCAAGAATGGGATTAAATGGTTTCCATGTTCGTTGGTAGGCATAGTAGACAGAAATAGCCCATGATGCTGCACCAGGTAACATAAATTTAGTTCCTTAATCGAATGAGCATCTGGCCCACAAAAATGTAATGCAAAAGTTCATTACTCACTGGCATACACCATGCGCAGGTAAGGATCCTGACATTCATCTGCTTGATCCAACAAGTACGAATATTCCATCAACTGCAACAAAAGTGCCAGTTTAGAAAGCAATTCTGATTATATTAAGTCATAAAATATCAAACAAAGAGAAGCAGCACATACCTCAGCCATTTTTTGAAGCATGGTCATTGGCTCAAAAATAAGGACAGGAAGCGTCACCATAGATGTAACATCAGAGCCTATATATTTCTGCATCATTTTCCAGTAGCTATCTCGTTCCTACATAGAAAAAATAAAAGCTCAAAACCACATACCAACATCATTTTGCAATTGAGCAAGCATAAACCATCAAAGAATTAATAGCAGAGGGGAAAGTAAAAGAGAAAAAGAGGGACTCAGCAAAAGCTAAAGTGAAATAGTGTAGCAATGAGTCTCTCCAGAATACCAGATAACAAAGTTGTCTCCAAAAAAAAAAAAAAAAAAAAAAATCCAAAAAAAAAAAAAAAAAAAAAAAAAAAAATTTCGTAATTTGTTTGAAACTCAACATAACGAAAAGAGAAAAAAAAAAAAAAAAAAAAAAAAATCGTAATTTGTTTGAAACTCAACACTAACAAAGAGAATAAATTCACTTAAAGATGGCATATGAGAGGACTATGAATATCCACTTATGCACATAAACCAAAGCAGACAACAGGAGAACTTTAAATTTTAAGGGTATAAGCACACCTCTTCCTTCCATCTTCCTCTCTGAGCTTCCTCCTCTGCATCATCTTTGCCACCTTCTGGATTTATGACTTCTACTCCTTCATAACCAAGCATTCTGTACACATGAAGAAGAAAAAAAATATAGTATACTCATCAAGCAAAGGAAAAAAAGTACAAAACCATATGCTAAATTCAAAAACTTGAAAGCTCTAATTATATGGGTATTAATCATGCAACTCCACAACAAGAAATAACTTTAAATTAACAGATCGCAGACAAAGAAAGCTCTCGAATTGGGTTTCCATAACAATTAAAGAAAAACTCCAATTACCCGTTAACAGATCTGTGCATAGCGTTGCCAAACATGGACAAGCCAGAGGTCATGGCAGCGAAAAACCCTTTATTTTCATTCTTATCGGGAGTACCCATCTCTCTCTCTCTCTCTCTCTTTCTATAAAAATCAAAGCTCTGTTTTGTTGATTCTGAATTCAATTTTCAACTCAAATTGTTGCCCAGCGATCAAAGAGGCAAAGGACGGCTCTTTAAATCGCAGCAATTTGAGAGAGAGAGAGAGAGAGAAAGAAAGAAAGGGAAGTCGTCGATTTGGACCAAGGAATAGAAGTGTGAAATGATAGGGGAAGGATCTCAGATTTTGAAAAGGAAAAGGACTGGAAACGAAAAATCGAACTTGGTTGGCGGTTTTGGATATGCACTTGTCTTGTTTGATTCAACTTTCAACTAAGCTTCTTCTATTTAAAGTTCATGTAGGAAAATAATTCCTTCTACAATTTTATTTTCAAACCCCATAGGAAAAACAAGTCAAATTTTACGCTTCCTTTCGTACAAAAGAATTCAAAATTTAAATTTATAAATGACTTTTTCTTTTATAAATGATTTTTTTATTTCAAATTGAAAATTTTTGATTTTATTTCTTAAAATATTCTTAGAAAAATAATTTAAGAAAGTAAAAAGTAGGAATAGTTTTGTCATAGAATTTTGTATTGTTTAAATTTATGAAATTTATTTAAATTTTTCACATTTTTTGGTAAAATTTGGTGTAATAGTCAAATCCATAAAATTGAATTTATAGAATTTATTCTTTTCATTTTTATACTAAATATAAAAATTTAGATTTTATAAATAAAATTCACAAAATTTTATAGAATTCATTTATTCCAAAAAGGTCAAATTATTCATTATAAAAATGATATACCTTGTATAAAATTTTATTAACTCTATATCATAATATTTGTCACATTTGAAATTTCACGTTTTTTTAAGAAAATTATTAAATTTGTCTTAATTACAATAAATTTTTGAGTAAATTGACTATGTTACCCTTAATTTAATAATAATTTTCTAAGATAATCATTAAATGAAGTAATAATTATTAGTTATATACAAAAGGTAAATATGAAAAAAATATTTATTACTCCTTGAAACCACAAATGTGATGAATATTTTGGAATAAACCAAATTTTCAAATGTGACAAGTATTATGGAATGGTACTTCCTCTGTCTCAAAATATAAATCATTTTTTATTTATTACTTTATCCCAAATATAGCTCGTTTTGTGTATTTCACGGGTGATGAATAATATTTTTCCAATGTGCCGGCAACAGAACTTTGGGCTATCCATTAAGGGCTCAAGATCGCTAAACAACTGGGTATCACTGATATCAAAGTAGAATGTGACAATGCTACAGTGGTTCAGCTTATCCAAAGCAAAATGGACTTAAGTGGAGGTTTATATCATCTTATCTTACCTATTAAAATCTAATGCAAGATGACTGGATTTGTGACATTTTTCATGTATATAGAGAGGCTAATTTCAGTGTAGATTTTCTCTCTAAATTAGCTAGGAATTTTTCTCTTGGAACCTATGTGCTTATGGATCTTCCATTAGGCATGGACTGGTGGCTTAATCATGATTTGTACGGTATAGCATATCCCGGATTATGCATGTAATTTTTAGAGCTTAGCTCTTCATTTAACAAAAAAAAAAAAAATCATAAACAACTATTGATTTTGAGATAAATAATAATTTGGTCAAATTACCCTTGAGTTTGTTATAATCTAAGATAATTCATTGCTTCCTTAATCCTTATGCAAAAATCTTAAACAACTTATATTTTGAGAGAGAGAAAGTAGAAAAGTAACGTTATTTTTAGAGTAATAAATTTTTTGGAATACTAATTTCTTTATGTATATAAGTGGAAGACCAAAAAAAAAAAAAAAAGAAGAAGAAGAAGAGCAAGAAACTAATTCTTAGAACAATAGAGTAAGAAATTTTTGTAACACTTAGGAGAGAGCGTTTTTGCCCCTCTTTATAGGCATATCCGACGCGAATTCAAATTAATTGGACAAATAGGCTTCGGATACTAGATGATTAAAACCAAAAAGAAATATTTTTTATAACACTAATTAACTTAATATCTAACCTTAAATAAATATCTAACATTGCTTTTCTATTTTCTCTGTCAAGCAACAGAAGATTTGTTCCAGCCAAATTGCTTTATATACTTGGCTGGATTTCTTCTCTCAATTCCACAGCAAGAATCACATTTAAAACATATCAAAACAAGAACATACCATAACATAGAGTTGGAGTAGGTACAGCCACAATTTCCAATAGTTCTGGTTATAAAAATGATAGAATCAGGAACAAAACGTTTTTAAGTAGTTTTTAAAGCGATTTTGAAACCACTGGTTTGGAATCAAAATTAAATGGTCTTTTTTTTTCTTTTTTTTTTTTAGTTTTGTAGCTTTAATAAATAATAATAATAATAATAAATAGTAGTATTGAAAAAGAGTTAACAAATTTAATAAAAGGTGGTAAAATTTATTTTAAAAATTATAATAAAATAAAAAATAATATTGGAACTTTCTTTGAACTTATTATTTCCACGGTTTCAAACCGGAATCCCCAGTTTTAAACCAAAGGTTCGAAAAAATAAAAAATCGAAACTGAACCATAATACACAATTTCATTTTTTATCCCTTTAATATAACTTGAAAATCTGGCTCTAAACAAGCTATATTAATTGCTACAAATTGTTAACTCAATCAAACAATTACGGATTTGATTGTATTAACTAGCACCTGTCACTCTAAATTATGTAACATCCCTTCCCGGTCCACCCGTTAACCCGAATGAACCGAGCTGAGACGCTACAATCTGGTTGAACTTATATCCTGTCATGCCGATATCATCCTGTATGATAAATATGAATATAAAACACTCCCAATTAAACTTCAGACTTCCAATATCTCCAACTAATCATCATAACACAACAACACTTTATATATATAGTCATAACTGTTATAAATCCTCAATAGCAGTTAATTATCCAGCTACTTAATTGCATCGTGATCTATATCAAGTCTTCATGACCTAATCATACCAACTATAGTCAAAATATTTCATATTAAATCATTTCCTCCAAATACTTACACCAAAATAATTACATGCTTCAATTATATTTCCAATTACATAAGCTCTGACAAATGTAATAGTTATACATGCCATAAATCTTAATACATGCCATACTTCATAATTATACAACTCTCAATCTACTATGACCAAATCAAGCACTTCTGCTTTGATAGTACTCCTCAAGTGTTCAAGTAGCAACCACGATCTTCAACCTACGCGTGATAAAAATCGACGCGCTGAGTATAAAACTCAGTGGTGCTCATAATTCACATACTTAACATTTAACAAGTGTGATGGCAACTAACTTAAAATACAAATTTTCATAAAGCATTATACTCATAGAATCAGTAAATTTCAACATGAATGTCCTTTGTAGCAACGAATAAACTTCTATTTCATAAACATCAATAATTTAGTTCTAATTATCTCATAACTCCTTTACATGAACCTTAAATCACACCTTATGATACTATCATGATCTTACCTGCTGGTCATTGTGTTGTATGAATGAAATCAATAAACATGTAAGATTACATAACAGTATATGTTCATTGTCTTACTTGCTATTCATTATGCTGTATAACTTATGCACTTTTAGTCACATCATATAAGTTATGATTAATAACATCTCATGACTGTATGGCTCCTTAAGAATTAAATAAATAAACGCGTAAGCATATAACCGCACAATATTATTTTTTAGAGTTTTTAAATTGAAGAAGTGGAGTGTAGAAGTGAAGAAGTGTAGAGTGTGTAGAAGTGTAGAGTGTAGAGTTTAGAGTATAGAGTGTGTAGTAGTAAAATTGAGAGAGAGAGAGGGGTATTTATAGAGGTTTGGGGGTACTGCAGCAGTGTAGTACAGTACTGTAGCAATGTAGTACAGATTACTGTAGCACGTATACTGTATGCTTCATGCAATGTTATGTCAAGATATCTGTATGGCTCCATAAGGTTATAGTGAAACCGAAGTGATAAGAAAAACTGTATGAAACTAAAAACGTATGCTGGCTGCTATGGCCTATATAATCATATCCACTCAACGGCCTGTAGCCGGGTACCAAACTGTATGGGGCGCAGATCTGCTATTCTATGTCGCGGAATAGCCTTATCTACGTTGGTTTCTACCTAACCTCAATGGAGCCATATTTAATGGAATGACAAATAGATAAACAAAAAGCATAGTAATGTGTCATAATTTGCATGCTTGTGTCATGTTTATTTTCACATTGCTTGTGTCATAAAATTAACTGCTTCATCATTTCATTAAACCATACTGCTACCTGTATGCTGAATAGCCTCGCCAAAAGCGGGCAACTGTGTATGTTTAGTTTCACCATCATTTGCATGCTTTGCATTGCGTGTTATTACATGTGTTCATGTTGTCTTTTGCTTTAAATGGTGGAAGACATACAAGTTGAGAAAAGGAATACAATGCATAGAATTCCTAACTTCATACCACCATTTCACATCATTTCACAATTGCATAGAATACAATTACAAGTTGTGTTTACCTCATTTCACATCATTTGCATGCTTGCCATGTGGTTTTGATACATGTTCTCATGTGGTCTTTTTGTTTTTAAAAATGATTGAGGGCATACAAGTTGAGCCAAAGGAAGACAATTGCATTGAAAATGAAGTCGCAAAAGAGCAATAAAAAACACAAAGTCGCGAGCCGCGGCCGCAAAGTGCACATGAGAGTCAGAGAGTTTACAGGCACAATTCGCGAGCGCGCAAATGAAATTCGCCGAGCGCGGCAAATGAAATTCGCGAGCGCGCGTCGTGTTTTCCAGCCTGCGCAGTTTGGTACTATTTTTGGTCATTATCTCTCAAGTTTAACAACTCACGATTTGGGTGATTCAAAAACCCATGTAAAAGCTAACACATAGAGGAACACAATAACTCTTCTATGACACTTCCTAATTCCATCATTAAATAGGGTCAAAATCAAGGTGAAGTTACTTGGTTCTTTTCAGCCAAACCTGTTTCAGCGTAAAACCTCAATATCTACTTCATTTATTCAATTTCATCTCAAAATGCTTTTCAATTCATTTTCAGTCATCCTTACTCAACAGAACAACATATTTTCTCATTATCAACACACCACACAAATTCTCATGCAAGGGAAAATAATAAACTAAAGAGATAGCACACCTTCTTTTCCAAAAAAAGCTTGAACTCTTCTCTTTAGCTTCCTTTACCTTTGAGCTCACTTCTCCTATACATAAAAGAATTCTTATGGAACCATCTAAAAATATCACCAAATATTCAATTATGAAATTTTCAAGAAAGCTTTACTTACTTGGATAGATAGAAGGTTGATTAATGCCTTAACTCACATTAAAATCTTCACTACATTAAAAGTTGATTGGGAGAAAGGAAAAGTGGAAGAGGAAAAGTAGAGGAAGAAATGGAAGATAAGGATGAAGAAATGAAATGAAATGGAACTCACGGGAGGCTTAGAAGATCAATGATTTTATGTGAAATTACCAAATTGGTACCTCAAGCTGTCAAAATGGTACAACTCAATACCTCAACTTTATTACTTTAGTGCAACAAGTCCTAATTCTTATACTTGAATCGTTTTTGTTTGTTTCCTTCAAGTAAGTCCACTTCTTCTCCTTATTTCAATCACATCCCATTCTAGCCCACTCTAGACTCTAATGGATCGAACCGGGTTTTAGATCAGTCCGACTCGACTCTAAACATCAACTCGATTCAATAGAAAATGGGACGTTACATGGAGAGAGTTTATTCAAGCTATAGCACTTTCTTTGACAACATTATATGTTTAAAAATATATATTTTTACCAAAGAAAAGAAAAAAAAAATGAGAGATATTTTTGGTTGAAATTTGAAAAGGATTCTTTAAGTATTTTATTTTGGCACTTCTATTTTATTTTATTTACCATAATTCACTTTCTTTGAATATTTTGTTTGTCTAAATTCAGTTTCAATTTTTCAAAAATTTCTCAATTAAAATTTGGTCTCAATTTCTATAATTCATATCAAAAGTAAGCAACTATCCTTTAAACTTTTTTGTTTGGTTAATTACTTCATTGACATTATTTACGCTTGTTTTTTTTTTTTTTTTCTGATATTCTCTTCTATTTTCTTTGAGAATTGCTTAGGTTTTATATAATATTGTGTTTGAGAATTACTTATGTTTTGTATTTGAGATTTGAATTCCTATTGATGATTCTTATAGTGAAATTAATTATAGGGTTGGATACCGTATGACAAGATTTTCTTAGGAAAGAAAATTTTCAAAGAACTTATGGCTAATTACTCGATTAATTGGAAATTAATAGACTAATATTGAAATTTCTATGACCTTTTCTTTTTTTTTTTTTTTTTAAAAAAAAATGCAAATGCTTATATATTACACTTTTTTTTTTTTTTTTGAAAAATGCAAATGCTTATATATTACTACATATGTTTCATAGTACTTGTCACGTTAATTTGGAATATCAGGTCCCTTAAAAAACTATTAAATTTATCTAAGTTTCAATAGATTATTGAGTAAATTGACTATTTTACTCTTAATTTAATATTAATTATCTAAAAAAATAATTAAATTGAAGTAATAATTATTGGTCACAACAAAAGGTAAATATGGAAAAAAAATATTCATTACTTCTTGAAACTATAAATGTGACAAATATTTTGAAACAAATTATTTTCTCAAATGTGACAAGTATTATGGAATGGATATAATAACTAAATCAAAGTTTAGAACATCATAATAATACTTGGAGGGACATGACCCCACTCCAATAAATCAGACATAAAAACATCAGCTCGAGTTAACGTATGAGTACACTGATTCAAGAAGTAATGAATTAAGGATGAGAACTCATTAATAAGAGCTCTATAGTCAAGAAGCAAAATTCCAAAATAAAAATTAAGGTTAATGTTATTTTTAGTGTCTGAACTGTATTTTTTTTTTTCCTATTTGAGTATATGAATGAAAAATGATGACAATTGAGTGTTTAAATTTATATTTCTTTTTAATTTGGTGTCTCTCAGTGAGGTGAACAATCAAATTGTTTAATGGGACAAAGTGAGGCTCATATTTGCCTATTTATTCACTTATATGGCATGAAAATTAATTCATGTAAACAGTCCATCGTGGAAAAGAGGATTAAATTACCATTTTTAATTTCAGTTACCTACAATTTCAACGCTAACTTCACAAAATCCCTAACTAATTACATTCAATTCATTTCTATTTGAGTGCGTGGACAAAAATTTTTTTTGATTTTTTTTATCAGCAAATTCAATTTATTTTATTAGTATGTCAGGAAAATTTAACTTGTCCAAGCAACTAACCCAAGCCAATAGGCTTACCAATATAGCCAAACCTAGCCTGAAAAAGTTAAGTGAAAAAACATGGAAGAAATATACAATAATAGATCAAAAGCATAAATTATAGTGTTTCTTCTTGAAATAAGAATAAAAACAACTAGATCAACATTTGACACGAAGAGCACTAAAGCTATAAACTTAAACCCAAGCCACAAAAGGTTTTACAGCATCAACACTCTTTTTAGCTAAACAATCTGCAAATTAATTGCATTCTCTGTTTACATGTTTAAAATCCACTTTGAACAAAGAAGATAATGAAGAATCAAGCTTATTAAAACGAACTCACCGTTGCTAAGGTCATTTATCTATCTGAGAAGCCCACAAAATGGCATTTTTTGGAGTTTGATTCAATAATTAAAGGTAGATAATTATAGCTAGACTGAAATAACTCAATTGCCTTCAAAATTGCCAATAATTCAGCCTCATTATAGTCTAAAATTCTCACCGATTGATAGAAAACACAACTAACCAAGCCAAAATAATTTCTCAAAACCCCACCTATACCAGCAGAACCTAGTTTTCCTCTCGCAGTCCCATCAACATTAAACTTCAGAACACCTTCGGGTGGACAATTTCAAAACCTGGACAAGAATAAAGCTCTTTCACTTCTGTTATGCATATTACTCTTACATACCAAGTAGGAAAGGAAATCTAGTCATAGAGGCTAAAAGACAGAGATAAATTTTACTTTTAAAATCTCAAAACTTCTAAATTTAATATGATCAATAACATTTTCTTTCTCATACCAAATATTAGAAAAAATTAAAGAATTTCTCCTCAGCCAAATAGACCAAATTGTGACAAAAAATACTGTCTTCCAAGCAACCTGGATTCCACTGAACAAAATCAGACTTTCTCGATGCCAACCTAGTTCAACCACAGAAGAGGGAAGAACAGATTGGATACACCACCAATTAAAAACATCCAACCAAATCTCTCTAGCCGAAGCACACCAAAGTAAAGAATGATCAACTCTTTCAATCTCATCACCACATATGGGAGAGATACAATCATTGAGAGTTTGAATAATTTTCTTTTAGAAAGATTCAACTGACAATGAATTTTCTTTAAGAAAACTTTCCACTCAAAATAAGAGATTTTAGAGGGAACAATAGAAGACCATAATAATTTCTGATTAAACATAACCACAAGATTGCCCATCTCCTTTTCTTCCACAAGCAAAAAGAGATTTTTAATAGAAAATTTACCTTTTTTGTCAAAAACGCCGAATGAATCTGTCGTTACCATTTCGGAACACCGAAATATCTCAACAAGTTTTGCTTTTAACTGATTCCAAAAATCTTCTTCAAAAGATTTAAGATTCCGGAACCATGCTAATTCCCAACTCCAATTACCATTCACAGACAAATCGTAATCAGAGACTTTTAACCTTTTGTTAACTGATAGTCGAAATAGACGAGGGAAGACAAAGGAAATAGGGACATCATACAACCAAACATCCAGCCCAAAAAAAAAAAAATCTTTTTGATTAAATGCCTGAACTTTTTAAAAAACCAATCAAGTTCCTAGAGCTAACATGTCTCACCAGAATATTGAATGTACATATGTGGGCTTTATTTTAGCTCATGTGATAGTCGTCGGGGGTTAAAAAGTGTCACTTCATGCCTGCCACCCACCGACCCACTGGATTGAGTCGTGAACTCCCAAATTTGCCCTTTATATGCTCATCACTCGGTCCCAAAACGCAAATTATGGCAATATCAAAGTGATTAGTAAAACAGAAGTGCAGATATAGTATTCTACACCTGTTACTTTGAAAACAAAAAAAAAAATGGATGAATGCAATGTCAGAGTACAATAAATAATAGCAGCTTATCTACGGATTGTTGCTCAGTTGACAATACAGATTGGACATATAGAAAAAATTCCTGCAGGAAGGCCGAAGAGCCTTAAATATGACTAAGTCCTTAGCCGAATTAGGTGGTTCCTAATAATAGGATTCGAATATCAATGATTTTCACCAAAAAAAATAACGAGCAGCTTAATCGTGCAGGAACACAAAAAAAAAAAAAAAAACCTTAGTGAGCAGGAGGAACACAAAAAAAAAAAAAAAAAACCTTCTGGAATCCAATAATTTAAGATGCTTTATATCCTATAAAAAAAAAAAAAAAAAAACCTTCTGGAATCCAATAATTTTAAGATGCTTTATGATCCTATTCCCATTGTTAATTATAGAAATTAAATACTAACATATGAATAAATAAAAAATCATTAACACGAATTGCACAATATTTAAAATGGGAGTAAATAAAAACATAACAAAAGCAAAAAGGACAAGAGAAAGTTTTATTGCTTTACCTTTCTAGACTTTGTATTTGTTCAGTAACCTTATCTAATGAATGATGTTGTCATTTTGTAGAAGAAGATGAATTAAAAAAGAACAACGCGATGTTCCATGATTTAAAATTTTGAAGGAAAAAATATATTTTAAGAAAAAAAATTTTAAATAAACAAAAGTAAATCGGGCATGATAGATTAGTTAAGTAGAATGTCTAAGGGTGAAACATATAGATTAGTTAACTAGAATATCCAAAGGTGAAAAACAGCAAAACAAAGAAATGGCGCGAATATATAAATTCACCTATGAACTTTGTTATTTTAATGTTATAGTACTTTTAACTTTTACTTTGATCTATCAAATATTTTAGTTTATAAAATTATATCTATTAAACACTTTATTTTTCAAATTTATTTTTTTGAACATTTAAACTTGCAAATGTAAATTAATTAAACATTCATTGAAAAGTTGAAATTTATGAAAATTATTATTCCAAAAGTCATGCTAATTATATATTAAGTTGATATTTTATAGATAGAAATCAAAAATTCTAAAAAATACTGATATTAGTGTCGAAAAATGTGTAATATTTCAAAAATTACAAATTGAAATGCATAATAGGTCATCCGTAAATTACTCATTTCTATCGGTATTTTGAGCAAGGGATTGGTGTTTCTTGAGGATGATCCATCTAGGGTTTCGTCTTGAGCAACGGGCAGCCCGGGCTCAGTTGCAAAATGGGTTAAGCTAAAAATGTATGTTAAAAACAAGCTTTCAGTGTTCAAGCTCGGCTCACTCGCAGCGGGCCGATGGAAAGGTCCAGACTGGTCCGCTTAAAAAAAAATTGCTTTCAAATTAAAAATTAATTAAACTCAAGCAAACAATTAACTAAATTTCCATGATTAAACGTATTTGTGCACAGATTCATAGCTTGTGAAAATTTCAACAAGCTAGTTGTAATTCTCGCCGTCGTGACTTTTACAACAATGAAATTTTAGTCATTCTAAAGCAGCCAGTTTGTGGATCGCTCCGGTCCGGCCTGTGCAGGCTCTCTCTTAAAATGGGTCTAAGTAAAAAGCCTATTTTTGAAAATGGTCATCAAATTCAAAAAAAAATTCAGGCGATCCCGAGCCGTCCGCAGGCTTAGGCTTGTTTTTACAGCACTAACTCAATCCATGTGAGAGACTGCGAATAGGGATGAAGTAACACTTTTTAATCCACATTGGCTGCCGCATCAATTGAAATGGGACCCATATATGCACAGTCAACATTCCAGCGAAAACATATTAGCTTGAGGCACTTAATTGGTTTTATGAAAAAGGAAAAATTATAATCATAATTTTGTGTTTTATTGAATTTAATTACTCTTACCCTTGTATTTTTTAAAATATATTAATATACCCTCATGTTTTAAGTCCGTTGCACCTAGTACCCCTTCCGTCCATTTTTTACACTTTTAAAGAACAAGTCAAAGGAAACCTAACTGTTTGAAGAGAGAGAAATTTTTTTTACCCAAACACCCTATTCTTCTTCCTTTCTTTCTCTTCCAGCAAACATTTTCAAAACTTTCTCTCCATAGATTCCGGTTTCTCTATAACATTTTGTTTCCCTCTATAATCATTACCACCTATATATGAGAATCTTTCAATGAATTTCTATTTCAGAAACATTTATTTTTTGTAGAAATTTGAGATAAGCCAAAGCTCAGAAAGGTAGAAATAGAAGCGACGATATTTGAAGGAGTTTAGATATGGAAAAAATATAAGCTTGACAAGTTCTATTTTGGCCATTGTTGACAAGTTCTATTTTGGCCATTGTAAGAGTATCTAAGCGCCTTCTGTTGGAACAACCTATTGTAGCTTTTTGCCACATAAAGCTGATGTGCATGGATAAATGAACATAAACCAAGAATAATAGCAATTATATATAATTCCTTTCTCTATTTTATCTCTCTAAAATAAGAAAAAGAAGAGATTAATATAGTAATATAAATCTTTATTCTTCCTTATCGTTATTGTTGAAATAATAATACAATTAGCATTTCCAATTTAGAGAGAAAATATAAACAAGTTTTTCTCTCTCCAAAAGTTTTGGAGTTTAAGAATACTTGATATCAGTTTTAATTTGTGATAAATAAAGGAAATTGATGTAAAAAATTGAGTTTCCCATAAGATTCTAATCATTTCGGTGGTTAGGTTGAAAGATTTTGAGATAACTCGATTTTTCCGCTACCGTGGGCAACACCATCGACTATATTCAAGCAAGACAAAATTGATTTCAGAACAAAACTGATTTTGTCTTTTAGTTAGGGTCATTTTATGATAATTTAATGTCTAAAATGCATAAAATAGACGGAAGAAAAATGGTGTTTAATGGACTAAAAATATGAGGATATAATAATGTATTTAAAAAAAAATACAAGAATAGAGTAGGTAATTTCAATAAAATATAAGAGTACACTTATGGTTTTCCCTTAAAAAAAATGTTGAAATAGAAATAACAATCATTTCGCAGATTGCTTAGCAAAAACAGGTATTAAGGTCTATGTATCTTTTTGCTTGGATATAACAGCTAAGAGTTGTATTGTTTTGATATTTGCAGAGTTTTTTTGTAGCTTATGTTTTCTTATCTCAAGAGAAGATATTTACGTCTATTTGTACTGTTATATAGAATGTTTGGTAACTATACTTTTTCACTTAATAAACTCAAATGTAATTTTGAGTGTAATCATATTTTTTCACTTATTAAACTCAAATATAATTTTGGCTGTATAGGTGTATAGAGAAAGCCGGCTCGATTTAGTTTTTGAGTTTGATAAATTTTTCTTGATTTTATAATTTAATATAATAAAATATGAATTGCTTGTAAAAAAAATTTTCGTTCTAGTGATTGAAAGTTAAAGGTACTAACTTCATCATTATCTCAAAATAAAATAATGAAAAGTTGAGGTAGCATGTGCACTCCACCAAAGCACGGATATACTTTGATTCATTAAATTTCCACTTAAAAAGTTATCATGGTAAATAAAAGTAATAAATTATTATTTAAATGCTAAAATATCATTTTAACTTCTTGTAAACAAAAATCATCTGATTAAAATGTTTTTATTTTTTGTTCTGTTGAAGGTGTCGTATGCTTCATTGCTCTTATTTCCTAATGTCGTTTAACTTTGATTATTTTTATTATAAATCTATATTGAAATACTATTGTATCTCATTAGACTGTTAATTTAAAACCAACAGTGGTTTGCGACAAATCTACACATGGATGGACTATTTACTTAGCGGAAATAATTTATTCCAATAAAAATCTCTCCTTTACTGCCTCTTATCGGATCTAAATCCCAAACCTTTCACTGTAGATCTACGGAGAGACCCAGTTCAATCTTTCTTGTTTCTATCAAACTCGATCTCTCTTCTTTTACCCTAGCTTGTTTTTCACTCACTGTCACTGCCGCTATTGACAATCCATTATCCCAGAAGAATATCAAAAACAAATTCCAAATTTAGTCTTGAACGATTTTTCTTTTTAAAATTTTTTGCAAAAAATTTTTATACTTTTTTTGTGGGTTTGACCAGCAATGAAGGAAGGGAAATCGACTAAATTGAATAATCAGCTGCCACAGCAACATCAAAACGGCCATTTTTCTCCTTTCAAATTTGGTAAATTGTTGGATCCAGAGGCTTCTTGGGATAAAGTAACTACCTTCTCAATCTTCAACATTGTTTTCTTTGTGGGTTAATTTCTTTGTTTTCAAGGAATTAATTTTATTGGGTTATTGAGTATATACTGAGTTTCTGTCAGTGCGATTTTAGTTTCATTATATACTTAAGTGCTAGTTCCAGTAGTGCAGTCAACACAGAGTGTTATTGTGATATATTTAGCTTAGTAGAGGTTTTGGAGTTAAACCCATTAATACACATAGAATTGTGGACTACTTTTTAGTGATTTATGATATATATGAAGTTCTTGAGTGCAAAAGGATGAATTGCTGCTTTAGCAAAAGAGTGTTATTGTGATATATATGAAGTCATTGATTGATGATAAATGGCTTTTTTTTTTTTTTTTTTAGTCATTGATTGATGATTAAATGGCCTTTTTTTTTTTTTTTTCTCAGGATTCAATTGGGTATGTCTTGCACTGGATTAGGCAATTTGTGGCCCTTGTATTTTGGAATTGCTTTGGGGTGCTATACCTTTGGGTTGGAGGTATTTGGATTGGCCTGTAAGTTTCAACTTGTAGGACCCTTCTAATCGGTTTCATCTATATAGATGGGTACATAATTCCTCTTTTTTTTTTTTTTTTTTTTTTTTTTTTTTTTTTTTTGAAAATGCTGTATTTGGTTGCCATTCAATTTGATTACTTTCAACCTATTTTTTTTTTTTTTTTTTTTTTTTTTTTTTTTTTTTTTTTGAAAATGCTGTATTTGGTTGCCATTCAATTTGATACTTTCAACTATCTCATTCATAACTGATCTGGCTGGATATAAAATCAAGCTGTGATTTCATGTTAGTTGTGATCAGAATTTATGTTAGTTTATTTAGTTATCGAACATGACTCCGGGTATTTCCATTGTATATAAAATCAAGCTGAGATGTTCTTTTATTGTTTATGGTTTCTATGAAAGACAGTTATTAAATTAATGTTAATAAATTTCCTAAAGTTTCTTTTACCCCTCAAATATAACATATTAAAATCACCAGGTCCATCACCAGTTTTAGATGTGCTTTTGGATATCAATGAACAATTTTACTGTGCTGTGGCTAAGTTTGCTTGTTCCAGCTTCAGTACTCTGAGAATCTGATGTTTAGAGCATTTTAGGAGCTATAAATGGAAAAGTTAATGTAAATAAACATGAATATTGAGCATATTAGAAGGTCTCTATACATCTCAATAAGGAGACTCCAGAGCAATGAAACTTTAGATATTTTTCTAGCTGTTATATGTGCTAGTATCTTGTGAATTCAAAAATTTCAGATTTTCTTGCATGCTCTTTTGCTTATTTTTTAAAAATTTAAAAGTATTTTAAAACTAAATTTTTTGAACATTTGATGTTTGCTCTAGATATACGTTGTTGACGAAAAATTCTCTATATGTCATATTCTGCATGGTTCCTCCATTAGGTCATGGGCTCCTAGTGGAAGGGGAATGTTACATATATCTGTATCTTTCTTAGAGCTAACTGTTTGTGGGATTCCATCATTTGATGATTATCCAACATTAGTACTGGCTATGATCCAATGGAGCTAGCAGTAGTCAAATGTTATTGATTATTATCATCCAACATTTGTTATTGGAGCTTGAGTTCTAAAAAGCTTATGGGTAACACAGTAATGCTGGCAGAGTCAATTGTAAGCTTTCAAGTTAATTTTGTTATTGGAGCTTGAGTTTCAAAAATTGTATGGGTTAACCTAGGAAGATGTACCTCTAGAATCATGTGCATCAGCTGTAAAAAGCCTGAAGATACTTTTTTCCTATTTGGGAACTTTATTACGTGCTCGTAAGGATGAAGGGATTGAAAGTTTTAAGTACTACTACTAGTTTGCCGTTCGCTTTGCTCTGAACCCTCAGGGGGCTGGACTTCCCGCAACTTAAGCTTAATTATGTACTTATTGGAATGTACTTAGGGAATAAAGAGCTTTAGATAAAATATGTCTGGAGGATTCACTTTTTCCTGTTTGAAGCCTTTATTGTAACTTATAGGGGGTAAATATTCTAGATGTTTGAGAAATAGTTGTGGATTCTTTAGCTAAAATCCTTAGGAACTATTCTTCCATTAAATTAAACTTAATTTGTGTTCTGAAATGTAGTTGGTTCTGGTTTGTATTCTAGATATGCAGACATTTCACTTTCGAAAACTTTTCTTGTGGTTGAATTTCTAAAATTTTGTAGTTTTCCAGTGTCTATGGTAAATTCTTTGCTAAAGCTTGTTGCTGATTGTGGTTTGACAGCTTTCTCTTGATATCCTCTGGGATCGTATATGGCTATTATTCGATGATATTAAAGGTTGATGAAGAAGAGTTTGGTGGTCATGGAGCTCTCCTCCAAGAGGGGCTTTTTGCTTCTTTTACTCTCTTTCTGGTAACGCCCAGCTCAATATGGTTGTTATATTTAGTTTTTGGTTTTTGTTTCTCAAATTTAAAAGAAAATTATATTTTAAAGATATATTTACTTTTGTTTAGGGTTTTAAAACAGAAAAATAATTTGCCATGAGAAGTGAAAACCATAAAAGTGGTTTTCCTCCATTTCATCTGGCCATTTTCTTTAAGTAACAAATTTTAGCATATAAAACAGAAACCAACAACAAAAATGATACCAAAACAGCAACTAGTCTCTCGTCTTCATTACTCTTTCAAGGCCAATTCTATCTTCAAAGCATGTTAAATTAGAAAAAGGGTAGCTTTTGTTTTTCCCATAACTAACAAACTCTGTCTTTTCTCTATTTAATGTTCACAGCTCTCATGGGTTCTAGTATACAGCTTGGCGCACTTCTGATTTTGCTCGGTATACAAATTTGGGTTCCTCCGCCATTTCAAAGCGTGGTGTTATCTTAGTCAGTTGTACGAGGCACCATTACTTATGCCATCCCGAAAACAAGAATGAGAAAGTTCTTTACTGGCGATTATTATGACTTGACTACGCTTTGATTATGCAACATCTTGTTTTTGCTATGCATGGGAATGCTAATTTTTCATTGATGGTAAATCGATGTTTTAATTCAACGGTTCTTCATAAATGCACTGGCAAGATATAGCAACGTGAAGTTTATGATCTGCTAGAAATACTTGTTTTGACTATGATTTTAATGAATTTGTATTAGCAAAAGATTTTGATTCAACATTTGGTAAGAAATGCCAACTTATTTTCAAACGTAGATTTGAAATTCTTTTAGTTGGCTATATTATCAAATACCATTTATCATCTGAAAACAAATTGTAGCGAGGCGATTCAAAATGTATAACAGGTAATTGAACAAATGTAATAAGCTCAACTTATGCCAGTGGCACCAATAATCAAACATAGAGATTAAATCTAACAGGAAGTTGCAATGGCGAGATAAATGCCCTGAAAATCCGTTTCATGCCATATATTCTACATTCTGATTATAAATTTCCAGGAAAATGTACTTCTACGGACTACAATATACAATTTTCAACTGTTATTTGTCTGCAAGAGATGCCATTTCAGAATCATTTCCCCATGCCAAATGAAAAAAGTCTGCAAAGAATCATTATATCGGCTGCTTTGCAATCGAATGAATTTGCTCAGCTTTTACTTCCATCTATGTCGTCTTCGTGACACAAGATAAATGCGACCATGGACCCATTGTCTACCCAGCCTCGAAGCTGTTTGCTGCATGAAGCAACATTAAATTTGTTATTTCTTATTAGGTAAATAAATTTTTTAAAAGAAACCATAGATTGTAATTTTTTCAGTGTAAGGAGTTGCTATTTGAATATCGAGCAAAGTAGATGAGAATTTCAGTATCAATTTCGAATAGGGCAACAGAAGAAATTACCTCGACCTTCGTTCGAAATTCTAGTAAGCTTTCACATACATGACAATCTGCTCTATGCGGCGAGTTGTTAGGCTCATTTGATTTCACAAATGCAAACACCTGTAAACAGATGCCAAAATCAAAATGATGGGAGGAAAAATTACAAGTTATATCATGATTATTCCTGATAGTGCTCAGTAAGATATTGCAAGAGTGGAAGCTTTCAGGTTTTCTTCTTTTCATAATGGGAACAATAAGTGAAAAAGATAAATACAAGGTAATATGCGATATAACTGACCTCTTCCCCACAATTTGGGCATGCCCCCTTAAGTGCCACCAAGTCTTTCCTCCATAGGCCCTGGAGCACCTTAACTGTAATGCAGTTAAGGAAAGAAAATATTAAAGGATTTTAATTTTCTTCTCGTATAATTATGAAAATTTTGACTCCAAAGAAAAATTTTATACTAAAAAGGAATATTGTGTACTTTCCTATTAAGGAGACATTGGGCCCACCATTTCAAGTTTATAAATACTAGTAGGAATACCAAGTACAATCAAGTATCAGGCCTAGAAATATCCATATAACCAGCTCTTAGGTTTTGATCAATAGAATACAAATATTAAATTTTGAATGCCTAGGTGTCTAATTTTTACTCCTTTCCTCTTTGTTTCCTCCCTTCCCCTTCTTTCATCTACTGCTGCAGTACTTGTCTGTAGGTTTATATACAGCAACCGATTTCGCCTCTCTATCACAAATAAGCTTTAATTTGAATACTTAAATCTGAAGTCTGTACAATAACATAGTATTTTGAAATAAATCTACATATAATTCATTTTTTTGCAAACAAATTTGCATGCTTGAATTAAGAATAGAATTCATTAGGTTTAATAGCTTGTGCCCTTATGAAGGGTAAAGTTCATTTCCAAATTCTATTAGTTTTTAATAGGACTTGAGTCAAACACAACCAATTGTGGAGAATTAAAAATATATAATTCTAGACATATTTTTATTAACACAAAACATGAAAATATATATTCATATAAAAATTCCATAAAGTTTATGAAATTCATTGCATAAAAAACAAGCTCTATATCTTGACTTAAACTCATCAATTGCTTGAGATTTGCCTGCAATAAAAGCATCATACATCACTATGCATTGGGAGTGTGAGTGAAAAAATAATGTTTCAATGAAATAACTGAGTAAAGAATCACATAAGTTCTCTAATATCAAGATTAACCAATGAATACCAAACCAGAAATATTTATACTTCCACATAGCTTATCTTCTCCTAACTTTACATTTTGGTTGAAAAACGATCTCCTGGTGCTCTTTACCCACTCAAAAAGTTCAACTTTGTCATTACCCCAGATGAGTTAGTTTCTATTATATATTCCTTCCAGCATTTATGTATCAAAGTTCTCATATTTTTCAGCACTTTATTTATTTGTTTTGGCGAATGGATGGAGTGAGGGGGAGGATTTACCCCAAAGAAAGTCAACTTTTTAACCAAATGACTTACTCATTCCAGGAATTGCGGAGTAAAATAAGCGTCAGATAAAGATTATTACCAGAGGATGATGTAATTGGATAGCCAATCAAAGATCCCACTGCCATGAAGAGAATGCCATTCACTGTTGCAAGAAATTGAATTATAGATCCTTGGGTTCCTTGAGAAATTCCTGAGCTAACTGCTTCTTGATAAGCTAGAACAACAGTATAGATAATGGGTCCAACAAGCACTGAACTTCCAAATGCAAGAAAGATGATCCATATGCTTGCTAATGCAAAAACCTGTGATACATCTTCCTGCCCTACAGCCATGTCAATCAATCTTCAAGTGGAGGAAAAAAACTATACAGGGAACAAAAAAGAAAAAAAGAAAGAAAAAAGCTCAACCCTACTACAGAACTAAATACAAACTAAATGAACCATGCATATGGAGGAAAAAAAAGAAAATGCCTTATAATAATAAAAGATTTCCTCGAACTTCAACATTTCTTTCTTGTCGATAGGCACACTAAAATGAACAAAGAATGCCAATCAGGCTTAGCCTGTTTAATCTCCTCATGCTTTTACAAGGGTACAAGGAGTAAGGAAACTCAAATTTGATTCCAAAATTCACCATTAAGATGGAAGTTATCACTAGTATGGTGGGAATTGAGACTATGGCCTTCTAATCAGCCAAAGAAGTTAAAAGAAATAGACCAATTTGTGAAATTGACAAGATATTGACACAGTTCAAATTTTCTTTAAAAGATTCTAAAGACAATTACCTCAGCATCTGCATAAGTGGATTGTCGCCTAATACTGCAACGGGGATACTTGACCACAGATTTTGAGCCATACCACCGCAATTTTAACTGCTTCAATCATTCATTGAAATTAATAACAATAAAATCACCATAAACTTCGAAATTCAATCCAATGAAAAAAGTTTATGATGTTACCTCTACTCTATCAAACATGTCATCAACTATCAAAGGTTCACCACTGTAATACGCATCCCGTGCCTAAAAACAAAATCAATCCAATACCATACATCACTTTCCCATTATTCGGAGTCAAAGTTTCACACTAAGAATTTCGCAAAGAAAATAATAGGAGACCTAAAGTTCACGTAATATCTTGTGCTTATCCATAAGAAAGGGCAAAAAAAAAAAAAAAGGTAAAAACATCACTTTCCATATTCGGAGTCAATATCATACTCATCTAAGAATTTCGCAAAGAAATAATAGGAGACCTTAAAGTTCAACGTAATATCTTTGTTGCTTACCTAAAGAAAGGGCAAAAAAAAAAAAAAGCAAAAAAAAAAAAAAAGGTAAAATAAATTATAAAAGTTACGGATAGGCAAAATTCCCTTTGAATTTTCCTTACATATATATTTTAAATTCTATTAATTATATTTCATATATTTTCTCGGCAACCAAACACGGAAAAGAAAAATCCATCCATGAACAAATTGCATTAAATTAGACAACAAATTAAAATCTGTAGAATCTCACTTGACGATACAGAGCTTCTAGGGTTTCTTTACTTGCACTATCAATAGGACCAACGTATATGCAAGACGGACCCTCAGCTGTCGCTACAGCTGCAAGCTCCCGGTGGCCGGACATGGCGGAAGCCCCACTGTTCTTCATCGAGATCCTGGCCGAAAACGAAGCTCCGCAATGGTTGGCGGTTCTGGATAGTTCGACGGTGGTGGATCCGATCACGTGGCGCGTGATGGAGGTGCACGTGCCAGCCATGAACCGAGAAGAGAATAAGGTATTGCTGAGCAGAAGAGTTTTTTAAGCGCACATGAGGTCGAAATGTTACGGTTCTAGAAATGACTTCAGCCGCAGAATTTGGGTTTAAATAGTGACGATATTTTTTTACGAGAATACCCTCTTTGAGGTCCTGGTTGGTTTTGGCACGTAAATATCTAGCTTGGCACTTGGTTATATTTCAAGGCCCACTTTTGTCTTTTTCGCTAAAAACGGCATTCATTTGAAGAAGTTAACTAATTAATAATAGAAGGATGTCGTAAGGAGATATTTGAAAGACAAATGTTAAATTCGCCCTTGAACTTTTGTAATTGGTGTGCAATCATGTTTAAAAAACTCTTTGTACTAGATTGATCCTTAACCTTTTCATTTTATGCCAATTAAATCCAAATTATCTCACGACTAAAATTGAAAAATAATATACATAAATTAAATATAATGAACCATGAATAAGTAATAATATCACAATTAATCATAATATTCATATTTTAATATCAATTTAGAGTTCTTAGAATTTTAATTTGTAATTATTTGCTTTTAATCAAATATTTTTCTCCATTTATATTTATTTTGTATGAGTAATTAATTTTTTGAATTAAAAAATGGTTATATAGTAGATACAGAAGTTGTGAAGAAATTTGAATTTAGTTGTTCTGTGATTAAAACTTAAAGAGTCAATTTGGCCAAAAAAAAAAAAAATCTTTTACAATCTAATCAGACGAAGGGGAAAAAAAATCAGGCACCAATTTGATATTTAACCTAAAAATTAAATACTACTGAACGATGCCGTATCAGGAAATTTAGTAAAAACACAAAAGCATGCGTTTGCCGGGAGTCGAACCCGGGTCTATTGATTGGAAGGCAATTATCCTAACCGTTGGACTACAAACGCGGCTTGCTGAAAGTTAAAGTAAAGATAATAAATAATAATTTTAGTTCTATAATTTGCCATAAGTTACTATACTGTTCCTCTAGTTTAAAAACATATACGACAACATTGACATATTTTTGGATGGTTCGTTAGAAACATTTGTCCTTAAATCTATTTTATTTCGTAGGTCAAATT